GCGAATAATTATACTTTCGCTCGATAAGCTAAAACCAAGTCGTATAGAGAGAGAAATGAGCGTGTAAAGTTTAATTTTATTGTTTTTATTGCCGTTATCAAAGTAATAATACCGAGATTAAACGTAACAATCCGTTGTTTAAACTGAATGACTCTTGATACTTAATTAGTAGTAACTGTGTAGGTAATATAATAACGGTGATCTAAAGGATTATGTAATGTAAATGTATTCGCATCGCTAAATGTGTTGCTAAGCACATCTTGGGAACAGCAATACCGATTTAGAACAAATTAAGTTTATTTGTTTTAGAACGTTCTGGTAGATTTGAGGTAGGGAAGGGTAGAAAAAGCTAAGTTAGATGGAGTGGGATAGAAGGTAGACTAGAGAAGGACAGAGTAAGGTAGATTCAGAGAGCAAAAGCTAGTGTACCAATAAATATGTCCTTGTGACACATAATCTACTTCAAACTCATTACACAGTACATGATCATTTAAACAAAACTAGGTCTAAATACGCATGCAAAAATTAAATACGCTGTAACGAATGCACGCTAATAACAATCCTAAACAGAAAGAGATAAGATTTACAATTAAATAAACGTGTGTAAAATCGGTATTAGTACTATGGAAAATATTTGTACTTACGATAAAACGTGAATATTTGAGCTAATATCTGTCATGGACGACTTATAATCTATACAAACTTGATACAAAATAACCAGTCGGCGAAGATTACGAAAGGCTTATGATTTTTAAAACAGGATCTCTCTTTAATTAAGTATTTATTTTCTTTATAATTATCATGGCAATTTGTGAGTAGGCGTAGGTAATCTTCGTAAATTTTGTCACACCAAAACAGACTTTATTCTGCTTGCTATGATAATCAGCGCGTTGAATTACATTACAAGCTGGTGGGTGGGCGCGGGACGATTAACAACAATACGTTTAAAAAAGTACCATTACACAACAATTTAAGTCTGATTTCAACTAGAAAAGGCCTAGGTCTAGAAATGGACAAATATGTAACGACCATGATCAACACATACCTACTTTAAAAATTAGTTTCGGATGGAGTTTCATAGACAAACAACTACTATTAACTGTCGTATAGCAAAAATCGCCAAAAACCCTTTGCTAACAGGAAAATGGAAGCGGAAATTGATAAACGTTTTTTTTTATACAGAGAACGGTAAATTAATATAAAATTATAGAAACAGACGGCCATGACAGCAAGTGATTTCCTTCGGTTCATTTCCCTCTACTGCTTGCATCATAACCACAGTTGCGTGAACAACTTTTCGGATAAAAGTGTCGCGGTCTATAGAAAAATAAAACGATGATTACGTAAGATCAAGGGTAAAAGTTCATTTTATCTCTGTAAAACGCACTTTCCATTTCTTGTTACAGCTCAAATTCGTTGCTTTGCCTGTAATTAGACATTTATGCATTTTTAAATGAGTTATATTGAGTTACACATGTTCAGATTTCAGTACCTACTTTGAATAAGAAATTTACTACCAGACACACAGCGGAATACTGTTCTATCTATTAAATCGATAACTGTGGGAACGAAAAAAAAAAAGATAACAACATTAGGTAAAGAAGGTTTAGAAAGATCGAGCGGATTCGCAATATTTGCTTAAGATATGGATATCGGTTAAATCAACTGACGTATATAACGCACCTTTATTTGGTAAAAGAAGCAGTCTTATAACTGAGTTTGTACACAGCTTCTAACAATTACGAAAATTTGTAACAAAAACTGTCTCACAGAAAACAGGCGTGGAAAAAGATTGCCAATGTTCGACGAAAAAGACAACAGACTACAATGTTTTTGTACCTGATAAAAGAATAGCCTCGAATGTTAGCAATTATGTTAATAACAAACTAATTAGCATATAAATAACGCAAAAACTCTTACGTGAACATACTTCTTATTCTTCTCTTTAAAAACAAAACGTAAAAATAATAATCATTACTTTGTTACTTAATTACCTAGCTACTTGACGCTGACAATTTCATAACATGTTGGGACAAGGTGACTTTAAAATATTTCAAATGAAGAAAATATTTAATTTAATTGAAACACCTGGTTATAAAACAATTATAAACAGTAAATATATATTAAGAAGATAACAAATAATAAAGTAGGTTATCAATTACAGTTAAGTCAGTGTGTCGAAAAATTAATTAGGTAAATCCTAATATTTAAGTAAATAACATTTTGTTAGTTATAGTGACTGGGTCACCCAGTACATTTAATGGCTTTTAAATTGGTAGGAATCTCATAAATGGGATCAGAGTTTGGGTGAACTGCAGCTCACGAAACAATATAATCCAATCGCACTGAGATGGTGCTTCGAAATAGAAATGAATAGTAGATATGTGGCAAGTTTTAGGCCCATATGAAGAGATTTTATCCACCACTGGCATATATATTACTATATAGATATAATTTAAATTGAAATCAATCAATATAGCTGTTATTTGGCATAGATTGCTTTCGCATTCCATTGAAGTGTTGCATTAATAAAAAATACTTATTTCGTGGTAAATAACTATTCGACACGTACCTATTTCGTGGTGAAGAAGCTAGTCTAATTAAAAATAACAAGTTTTCTTGTTGAACTAGTTTTTTAAAGACAAAGGTCTTCTAAACTAGTTGCATCAAGAATTTAAAATGCTAAGCAATTCATAGCACAAGTTTTTGCGAAAAAATCTGCAAAATATCCTTTATTAATCGTCATTATCAGCCCCAAAATCATTTTTGCATAATAATAATAAAAATTAATGCTGTGATTCTCATCTCTCTCACAAGGATGGAAGATGGCAGTAAAAATGTATGTAAAACATACTTTAAAGAGAAAAAGGATGTTCTGGTGACATGTAATATACACAGCGAATAGGGAACAATAGTAGAGTCTTCTAAAAACTTTGCTAGCCTTTGCATGTCTAATTTAAGTAAAAGCACTCAACAAGCCCGGATCTTTATGACAGGTTTATCATTTAAATGGCAGTAGTATTGAACTTAGTAATATCCAATTTATGAAGACACAGTTTATATATTAGCTTTATAAATTAGCTCCAGGACACCTAAAAATAATTTAGAGCAGCCCTAACGGACACCTAATAAAGAAATTTTTTCTTATACTTTTAAGTTTCTAATTGATCCTGGAATTAATGTAGTATGTAATATGATGACTCCAGGAATGCTAGGCGACATGACTTTGTTCTTTTGTAATTTATTGAGAAAGAAAAGATTGAGAAAGTACCATTGTAACACATATTTATTTTAATACCTACAGGCAAATTATTTACAAGCAAAAACTGTGCAGAGAAAAGTGTGCCAACAGCTTTGAGATCACAGCCTATCACAGCTATTTGTCACTATTAGGTACATTTGTTACAATATTAAAGATGATTAAAACAGAAATAGGTGCACATATTTCCTTACTTGCTTGATACTATATAATTATCAAGTCAATAATTTAAAATTAAAAACAAATGAGTTTAAAAAAAATATAGAACTATATTTTTTTAAATAACTTTATTTTTTTAACTTAATTAAAATGACTATTTAGTTACCTGCAAAAAAATAGCATAATTTAAATAATCAAATTTTAAAACAATTCATGTTGCTTTTGTTTTAAATTTTAATTTTGTGATCTAGATAATCTTACTTCGTAATTTTGTAATTCCATTATAGCGGTTGAGAAACTATTAAACCGGTAATCAGTTCAATGTGTTCTTATCATGCGATTTGTTGATTTCAGAATAGGTAGATAAATTTAATATCCACAAGACATACCTAGTGTGTTCTATCAAGTTAGCTTAATTTAGTAGGCACCTAACTGACTCCATTAAATAAAATAAATAGTAGTTATTTTCTTTACAAAACTTTATTCATTGTTTACTTGCATCTTTAAAGTTTAGATTTCTATAGATTCCGATGGCAGGAGATAATAAGAAACCTTTTTAATTTCTTGTTAAATAAGTTGTTTCCTATGTTAAAGTTTTTTTTAAAGGGTTTCATAATTTGGGAACTTTTTAATGTTACTAAACCAAAAATTAAATCACCTTGATAACATAAGTATCTAATACTATATTATTAAATATAGTATTAGATTATGGCTTCATTAATTAAACAATATTAAATTGCATATTTTTAACACACATGTTCTAACTTTAAGCAACAACAATATGAGTTAAAAACTTATTAATCTATATTTAACATGAAGTACTTGCCACATGTTACTTTGAATTCTTCCTAGACTATTCAAATGTAAAACAAAAATACATTATGATAACTTTAATAGCTCTTTCATAAAACAAGTGCTATTTATTAAGTTGATATGAACACTGATGTGACATTCAAATAACTTATTAAACAATGGAATTCCTCAATGCACAGAAGGTCAACATCTATATGCATGATCAAAACAATGAGATCTCAATTTAAATTTACTGGATCTTTGTTATATTTGATCCAAATAATTTTATATGAAGTATTATCATAATCAATGTGAGTCACATGTAAGTAAAAGTTTATCAGATAATATCAATAATTGTTGTTTTTTGTGTAATGTTTAATTATAGAATGTTCATGGTCAACGGAACCAGGAAATGAGATGAAGAAGCATTTCAATAAGTTAATTATGCTGTCACTAACTCTTGCATTAATTATCTTGACATTTTAAAGGGGATTAGAATTTTTATAACTTGAATTCAAATACAGCTACTTCGAAATTATGAGAACTTGTGTATTAAAATATGCTTCAAATTAAATTAGGCACCTCCCAGATAATCAATGTGGAAAATGAGTAGTTAGAAAAAATTTTGTGTGCACATGTATTGTATTAAGTTGTTGAGGTACTTAATTCTAATTGGAACTGATGGTAAGCAAGTAAACAAAACACAAATGTATTGGGAAACCTATTTTTCAAAGCAGGACACAATCCAAATTAAATAATTAAAACAGTTGAATAAATAAAAGTAACTCACTTGTATAAATGACATATAGTTCTAGCCAATCCATTCCCTGAGCCACAAGGTAATATGGCTAGTGGCACTTCAGCTAGAGCTTGCTGCCAGTCCAGTCTCTCAAACATACCATTCATCACTTCAAACAATACGCCGTCTCCGCCAATAGCCACAATAGCGCGCCAGCCATACACATTTCTCGTGCGCACAAACTCTCGCGCGTATTGAGCATACTTAGTGACATGAAGGTCGAATGGAACCTCAGCTTCTTGTAAGATAGGCACCACCTTAGACTGGAACAGCTCTCTAGCTTTACCCGGCCCGGATTTTGGATTCAGAAGCACAAGTATCTTTTTTTCGTTTGTCGGCGGTGAGGACGTTATCGGCTGGCGCGCAATCAAGCACTTTATTGTACTCCTCCATTTCTGTGCTTCTTTATTATTATCTTCATACTTATCGAAAGACCTGAAGCGCAGTGTTATTGTTGTCCTCTCTCTTTTCAAGGTACGTCGACTTCTTTTCAGTATGTAGGCATAAATATACAGGTAAGCGCTGATATCATTTTCATCAAGATCACCGCTGTTCTCATCCACAACTTTGAGCTGATTACCAACGAAGGAACTGCAAACACATGAGCCGGCGCCAGGGCGTCGTCGTTTGCTCCTCATACATTTGCTACCAATGATATCAGCTAGCAATATAGTTTGTTCCTTTGAATTGCCATCTGTTTCTTTTGTTAGAGACAAGCCTTTAGGAGTCAACCGAACACGAAATACAGAGTTCTTTTTAGAAAGAATGTAAAATGTTTCCTCGAGATAAACAACATCTTTCGAAACAGAGTCACCTTCGCCGACGTTTGACACGTCCTTCCCATTCTTTAGATCCGCCATGACTAATTTTTATTTTATTTTTTTACATAGAGTAGTGACATAGAGATTATGTCAATCTTAGAATTAACAATGACATTTTGACAAGAAAATAAATAACAATTGTACATTCACAGTTTGTACAGTAATCTGTTTTTTTAGTTGTAGCTTGATTCTGTGGTTAAAAATAAATTTATAAAAAACAAATTGTGTATTATGTCTACCGAGAAATTAGATTTTATTCATGTAAATCAAGGTTAATTGACAAATGCTACATTTACATTGGACCCCGAAGCGTTGCGAGTCCATATTAGGTTTAGGGTATCTTCTCTAAAAAGTATTTTTCACTGTACAATATTGTCAATGTCACATGTCATGGTTGGTTGTACTGTCAGCCTGACTGTCAGAGTGTCAGGAGTATCAGGCCAGCATTGCATGCATGTTGTCAAAAAGTAACCTTTCATTTTGTAAATAAATTTTAATTTTATACCGTTGTGTTATAAAATGAATAGTACAAAGTGTTAACTATAGTAGTAACTATGTCGCATAAAATATTGGAGCTTTATAGTGGGATTGGGGGGATGCACTGTGCATGGAAAGGTAAGAGTAAAAATATGTAAAAAAAAATCTTTTTATTTATTTTATGTTTCAGTCAGTGACCGTAACAACTTATTCTTCTGTTAATCTGAAAGTAACTAGCTAAGTCACAGACAGTAACTAATTATTTCTATTTGGAAACTTATAATCGTTATTATAGGCGTAGTGTATCCAAAAATACTAATTTATTGTATTATTACTTTCAGAATCCGGCTTAGATGGAGAAATAGTTGCTGCAGTGGACATAAATACAGTAGCAAATTCAGTATACAAACATAATTTTCCAGAAACTAATTTGTTGAATAGAAATATCCAACAACTGACTCCTCAAGTAATCAAAAAATGGAATGTTGATACAATACTTATGTCACCCCCATGCCAGCCATTTACAAGAAATGGGAAATATTTAGATGACAATGACCCTAGGACTAATTCATTTTTATATATAATAGGGATACTAGATCAACTAGACAATGTAGATTATATTCTTATGGAAAATGTTAAAGGCTTTGAGAACTCTACTGTAAGAAATCTATTTATAGACAAGTTGAAAGAATGTGACTTTATTTATCAAGAGTTTCTGTTATGTCCATCAACTGTTGGTGTGCCTAATTCTAGGCTTAGATATTACTGTACAGCAAGAAGGAAGAACTTGACTTGGCCATTTAAAAGAAGAGATGAAATTGTAAGTTTGTAAAAACGTCTTATTTTGTTTTTCTTTGTATAATATTAATTTCATTTCATATCAATTGTGAACAACAAAATAGTGAAGTATTTTTTTTATTGCAGATTACTAGACTGCCACAGGACTTTGGTGTTCCACATTCTTTAGAGTCGATAATAGAAGAAAATGTTGATGAAAAATTTTTGGTACCAGATAAAATACTGCGGTGTGCCAAAGTGTTTGACATCTGCTATAAGACCTCAAAACGGTCTTGCTGCTTTACAAAAGCTTATACTCATTACGCTGATGGAACTGGATCTATATATACAGACAAACCACAAGAAGAAGTACAAAAATGTTATGAAAAAGCTAAACAAACTGAAATTGGTAGTGAACAGTTTGTTGAACCATTTAAGGAATTGAAGTTACGGTACTTTACACCGCAAGAAGTATTAATGTTGATGTGTTTTCCTAAAAGTTATAAACTGCCTACAAATATATCTATGAAGCAATGTTATCGGTTGTTAGGTAATAGTGTTAACGTTAAAGTTATAAGTGAACTGTTGAAAATACTGTTTGAATAATAAATATTTATTTAATATTTTTACAATGTCTGATTATTATTTATTTTATAAATTGATTAATTGAAGATGAATAGATTATAATGACTGGTGATATTTATTTAACTTTTGGCAATTCAGAACATTTTTAGATAATCTCAATCTATTCTAAACTGCCTCACATAATGGTTTTATATTGCAGCTTACAGCTCAACTTATCACATCAATGGGAACAATGGGCATTAAATATAAACTATACATCATTGTAGTGCCCATAAATTACATAACCAAATGGTAGTTTTAAAAATACAGTGTAATTAAATAGTAAAATATTTAATTTAAAAATAATATTAACTTAATTAAATGGCCCCATTACTGAGGACTTGTCTCGCTCTTCGTTTTGCATGATAGTTCAGAACTCGTAGTCGTAACATAACAGCTGTTGAGGAAGCGGCTGCGATAGCAAATGACCATATTGTGAATTTCCAATATGCTCTTTCTTCAAGATATGCCACTCGATCACAACTGAAAATAGGAAAAACAAATTGTAGTATGATTGAATTAGTTATTTACTTCAGCAATTTTGTAACTTTAACTTCAATAGTATTACAAACCTCCTAGTGACCGTTTCACCATTTTCACATTTGAGTATTTCTTTGAAACTTGTGTGTATACATACCCCTATGCTCTTACTTCGTATTTCGAAATCTGCAAAAGGAAAAACACTGTTTGAATGATGAGTAATTTATAGCTATAAATTATTACTATCAATTGTTTCAGTCCATCCAAAAAAGTTTCTCATGAATGATCTAATTGAGAGACAAATCAACTTATTTCCTATAGTCAAAGCTAACAGCAACATTACTTAACCTTCAACATAGACCTAAACACTTTCAGTGGTTCCATTTATAATTAACTAATAATTATGTAACATAGTTTACCTGAACAAGGATGGCATTCACTAACAATCGAATATTTTTGTCGCATCCAACATGTTGAATTATTCTCCGTAGGGAATGTCTTGTTTTTCATTTTGTAACTACCAGACATTGAGTCAGCCAAATGGGACTCAAGTATTAGCACTACTATCGTCAATCTGCAAGATATAATAACGAGTTTGATGTCATTACATGTTTATCTATCAGACTAAGAATATTGAGCTCAGAAACTTAAAATAGTAGTTATTCCAAATTAAATTACACTCCTAAACAGACGGTCCCAAATAACATGCATTTTTTAGAACAAGTTTCAATCATTTTTCCAACTTAAATTAAGTAATAATTATTGCACTGTTTTCTATTATATCTGCAAATACATTATACAGATGTGTAATGCTGTTTAAATAATCATGGATTCGAAAGCACACAAATTACGATGAAAACAAAGTATGAAAATTATTGCTCATCCAAATGTCAAATTGTAACATTAATGACATATGACATTAGTACAACCAATGACTCAATGACGTTTCAAACAACTGAAAGCATAAACTATAGAACAAATCATATGGATTATCTATGCTGTAGAAAATAATAATTTCTCCACGACTAATATAATATGAAATATTTTATTTTTGTTGCTACAAAGCAATTATGAAAATTTAAATGTTACATTAATTAATAACTGAAAATTTAAATTACAATACGCAAGGCTCATTAAGAAAATTAAATCGACTAAACTTATTTTTTCTACGTGTGTCAACTCTATTTTCAAAATGGTTGAAGTTGAAACTGCGGCGGACGAAGCGCCATGTTTATTGAAAACGTAACGTTATCGGAAAAGAAAGCTGGCTGTGTTGTTTTTTATAAATTAGTTTAGCGAAAGTGCGATGGTATTTACTTCAGTTTAATATTCCTTATTCTAATAAGACGCGTGAGTTGTACTATTCTAGTTTCTTCTGCATACTATTGTTGCAAAAATGGCTGGGCCGTCTGAAAATCAAAGGTCTTTTCGGCTTTTTGTAACCCATGTCGACGGTGACGCTCATTTTTTGAAAATTAGTGGGCAAGTGGATCAACAGGCTTCGTTGATGATAGAGAGCCTTTTTGATGCTGCCCGAGATAATCTAGAAAAAGGCATCGGAGCGGTGCCACCGGCAGCTATTCATGAAGGTGTCATTTGTGCCGCCAAATATAAAGATGGGATTTATTACCGAGCTAAAGTTGTAAGCACAAACAATTTGTCTACCGGCTTGGTTGGAGTCCACTTTATCGACTATGGGAACAAAGACATAATTTCATTGAGTGCTATACGTTTCTTCGACAACTACGACCCGCTATTTTTGAAAATACGTGGTCAGGCGTCTGACTATTACTTATCTGGAGTTATGCAGCCATCTGGAAGATGGGAAGAACCACTTTTATTAAAACTTCAAAGCTTAGTGTGCTACTCGGAGTATGTTGCGACTGTTGATGCTCAGACTCGGACAATACCTATAATATCTATACAATTTAAAGGCACGGATTTATCGTCGCATCTTGTGTCTATTCGTTTTGGCGTAGCTTTACCTCTTGCAAAGCAAGAAGTCTTATTACTTCAATTGTCTGGTGATAATCAACAAGCATCTAATTGGCAGCCTAGTTTTCCAAATGAAGCATCCAATTTTCCTGAACATGTCCCATTTTTAATGAATCAAAACTTCCCTGCTAATCCTGCATCAACTATGCGCATTCAACAAAATGCATCTTTACCTTTTAATGGAAGTATACAAATGGCACCATCTTTGATTGGTCAAAGACTACTAGTCAACAAAGCCTCTAGAAACCCAGGAAATTTAAAAGCTCCAGGGCGCCAACCACAGCATGCCCCTACTAATAGCATCAACCTGTCAACCCCTCCACCAGCTCTAATGATAGCTCCAAAACCTGGTTCTCCTAAAAAGTCATCTACCTATAAGAGTAGATTGTTGGAAGTGAACTCTCAACACAAAGTGTTTGTGTCATTTGCTGAAGAAGGGCCAGAATTATTTGCAGTGCAGCTTGTTAGTGATGCCAAGAAGCTGCAGGACATGATGGATGACATTAATAAAAGGCCACATAGCAGTCTTACTGAACCACCCATGATAGGTACAGTCTGCTTGGGCAGAATGTCAGGTGACCGTATTATATGCAGGGCCATTGTTATGAATCTCTCTGGATCTCAATGCAAGTTATTCTTTGTTGACTTTGGAGACACAGAAATGGTATCATACTATGATATCTTCGATATACCTGATGAGTTTGTGAAGCCTAATGTTTTTGCTATGAGATTTTGTTTATCTGGTGTTAAGAAATTGGAAAAGGGATTACATTTGAATGAGACTTTCAAACAGCTGGTTAATGGAAAGGTGATGACACTGAAAGTAGTGGCACCTGAAGGTCCACCATTGATTCAGTATGGAGAATTGTACTTAGACAATAAAAACATACTTGAATTGTTGATGGCTAATATGAAAGACAAGCTGCAGTTTAAAAGGATTGACATACTGCCCTTGGGATCAAGGCGCTCTGTTCTTGTATCATATGTGGACAGCTGTATCAAATTCTTTGTGCAGTTGTCAGATCACATTGATGAGTTGAATGCTGTGATGGATGCTGTACGAACTCACTGTGAGAACAGCTCGTCTCCTGGAGAGTTACCAGTGGGAGCAGCATGCTGTGCTCGGTTCCCAGATGACAACAACTGGTACCGAGCAACAGTCAGGGACACTAAGAAGAACAAAGTTGTAGTTATGTATGTGGACTATGGTAATGAACAAGAAGTTGAAGTATCAGATTTGAGGACTATTACTCCAGAATTGATAAGACTGCCAGCTCAAGCTATGAAGTGTGCTCTGAAGGTGAGTTATTTAATAGATGGTCAACTGTAACTCCTTTTGTTAGATAGGAAAAAATCTAATATTTGCACAATAGGATTCCCTTAAGAATCTTGTAGACACCTAACACATATTACAAAAAAAATATGTTTGCTTCTTAGGGATATGAAAACAAACCAGTAGAGACAAAAACATCAAACCAATTGGAGATGTTAGCATTGGAGAAGACGCTGACTGCTCACATAGTTGGTATGCTGTCCACTACAATGGTAGTATCACTGATAGATGAAACTGTGACTCCACCACTGGATGTAGCCCGGAAGATGACACAACTGTCTCAGCCAAGGAGTTCTCATGAGGTAAGTTCAATATATGACAAATAATGTGTTGTTTTCAACAGAACAATTGCTAGGTAACCTACTTTTTTTACATCAAGTGTTTAGCTATCAATACCTGAATTTAATTACTAGTAAAATACTAATCCGCTGACCCTATTTCCCTGTAAACATGTTTGAGATATCAGCAGTTTGAACCTACTTATAAAGATAAGTGAAACTGGCATTGCATACATAATAGTCTTAGTACTCTTATTAGAATTGAAACTCGTGACTCAAGAAACCGAAAATGTAAGGATGATTCTTTCTTTTATACATTTACGTAACTTCGCAGCTAAAATTAGAACATTCCAATAAAAAAATGACCATTTTCAAGTCTCCGATTTTCCTTTCTTCATAACGGAAATGCATCTTTTATCAACACAAAAACGGTGTTACAGCAATTGCGATTTTAGTTTCAATAAAACACCTTTGGCGTAATGTTTCGTAAAATATTAGCCAGTTTACAAATTGCACAAGAATGGGGTATTGTTATAAAAATTTAGGTTAACAGTACAAAATGAAAATATACCTACCTACACTACTGAAAGCGATGAGATTATTCATCCAAATTTCCAAAATTGCGATCCATATTTGCGAAAGTTACTCTGTCCGTCTGTCTGTCTTTTCTTCACGCTTAAACTACTGAAACTATTTGTGTGAAATTTAGTACAGACATAGTTTGGAACTCTAGAAAGAACATAGGATAGTTTTTTTAGCCAAAAATCTGCAGGAATTCACTGTTCCACGCGAACAGCGAATTTCGCGGGCAAATGCTAGTAAGAAATAAGGAAATAAATAATGTTTTACCACTTTAGGCTAAAGCAACAACGCCAGTCAGGAAAGACGCTCCAGAAACCTTCAGTTCTCCAGACAGTGCGTCAGATGATGGCAAGAAGAAAAGCTTTCGACGAGAAAAGAGCTTCAAGGATGAATGGAGACCACCAAAAGAGGGCAATGAAGAGTTCCAACAAAGAGGCGGCAGTTTTCGAAACAGGTGAGTGTCTAAACTAATATTCATACACTTTAAACCTACCTGTTACCTACCATTTAAGTATTCTTAGTAGTCTTTATTTTGTGCGTAGTAAATGCGATTCTCCCATGTTCTTATTAGACATACAAATCATACAAAGTTCCGCTAATATTCAATGAAGTGTAGCGAAGTTACTGTTTGATTGATTTATCAATAATCGGAACAAATGGGTATTAATAAAGTTATAACTCGGTGGTCTTTGTAGGTAACTGTATTAAGTCGGCTAGACAGGTCTGTAATACGGACTCGGTTTATTCTTATCTGAGCCCCAAGGCAATACGAGCCGTGAAGTTTTTATTTTTACGTTTTTTTTTTTTCAACAGATTAAAACGCTTCTAATGTGACCTACAAAAGCCTCGCAATTATGTTCGACATCGACAATATTATGATCTTTTAACAATAAGACTGTAGCGACAACTAAATAAGAGCGTTAGCACCTAGTTTAATTGCCGGGGTTGCGGGGTAAGCGCAATGAGGTACCGCGACCTCGGCACAGAGCAGGAGAAGGAACAGGGGGGTTTTTAGTCAGTAAGAGCCTGACGCTCCCTCCTGCCCGGCCCTGGGCGGGAGAAGTCATTTGATGATTTTCCCCTCACAAAAAAAAAGCACCTAGTTTAATTAATTTAAAACGTATAAAATACTACGTAGCATAATAATTTATTATATTCTGTAGCTTTTTGATCATGTTACATTAATTCAATATTGATATATACATATATGTATAAGTAGGAGTCACTTTCCTTCGTTTTTTAATTTCCTTGAAACTCACGAGAGTGTCATGCAACTCGGGAAATTATCCTATTATTGTTAAAAATAAGATACATATATGTATAAGTAGGAGTCACTTTCCTTCGTTTTTTAATTTCCTTGAAACTCACGAGAGTGTCATGCAACTCGGGAAATTATCCTATTATTGTTAAAAATAAGAATGGGCTACTTTAGTCGTTATGTTGACACAGAGTAATAGTTTAAAGGAACAGTATTTTTTTTACTTCTTTTTTCATTTTTTTTTTGCGAAAATCTTCGTTTTTCTGTCCCGATATCCCTAAATATGCTTAAATCTTTAAAACAACGGTTTTTAAATTATGAGTAATTCAAGAGCAAGGCCCAATGTATAACATCCAATAAATAGTGGAGAAACTTAGTATCAGCAATACACACGTGCGAAGACAGGGCGGGTCGCTAGTAAGCTAATAAAAACAATCTTCAAGGCTCCCATACAATAGGTAACTATTAAATTAATAAACCGGCCCTGTTATTAGACTAAATATCTATGTTAAGAATGTATGCTTTATAACGCGGCTAACGTTTGTTCTCCGAAATGAAGGCCGTTCAATGATCAAATTTCGAACTTCATTTAATTAGTTTAGAATACATTATTGATGCAAATGAATAAATATGCTTCTTTTAATAGTTTATATGATCAAGCATCGGCGCGTGAATACGAGTATGAGATATGAGAGGGTAACAAAAAATCTGCTTCAAGTTATCCTCTTATCTTATCGTAAATCATACGCTTGAGATTATCGATCCGTTACCGCCAAAAACTAAACCTCTCCGTAAATAAATATCCACTTTTAAAGTTCAAGACTTTTTGACAGCAGCTGCTAAAAATAACCCTAAAAAGGGTACAAATAACAATTGTTAATTAATAAGTAATTATTTACACGTGTTGTATTAGCTTTTGTAAGAGGTTTCGCCACGTTATCTATATAAAACAGGCATTATATCATATTCCTGACTAAAATCTGTTTGTGAACTTATTTCATTAACAAGTATTAGGAAGGTATTGAAATAATATAAAATTTGCCTTTCTTCATTGAACACATGTTTAGTCACATTGCCTTGTAAGTAGCGAGATACCTATTTGGTTAACAAAACCTGAAATAAATCACTACAAGAAACTCGCCAAATTCTTTGTTCAAATTTCACAAAAGGAAACACGCTATTTGGTTCGTTTATACAGTGAAATTGCTTCATAAGAAATTAGCGAACGTGTGCCCGTTTAAGTATTCTGAATATTGTCCGCGTTTATAATTTTTTAAACGTTAAGTACTGGTTGCTATAATGTTGTTGCTCTTGGTGTTACTGGAATTTCTTAAGGTGTTATATAAACTTCCTTTCTTTTATCTAAACCTTTCCATCGTTGTAATTCGAGACACAATAATACGCGCTTGAGATTCATGAAACAAGAAGTTTAAATCAATTCCAAGTCCTTATATTGATAACTAGCTACCCCGCGCGGTTTCACTCGCTGCTCGGCTTCATTTGATTGTAGCGTGATGTTTTATAGCCTATAGCACTTGGGAACATTGTAGCGATCAATAAGTGAAAGAATTTTGGGAATCCGACCAGTGGTTCCAAAGATTACCCCCTACATACAAACTAACAAATTTTACCTCTTTATAATATTAGTAACCATGAAAGATTGTAACAATAATAAGTGTGGGAGAGCCATGCTTCGGCACGAATGGGTCGGCTCGACCGGAGTGATACCACGGCCTCACAGAAAACCGGCGTGAAATAACTTTTGCGTTGTGTTTCGCCGTGTGATTGATGTTACCGGAGGCCCAATCCTTCCCCTTCCCCAATCCCTCCTCAATCCCTAAATCTCCAAATCTCTAATCCCTAAAAGGTCGGCAACGCACTCGTAACTCCTCCGTTGCGAGTGTCCATGGGCGGCGCTGATTGCTTACCATCAGGTAATCCGTCTGCTCGTTTGCCGAGATATTACATAAAAAAAAACAAACCACTTGTCACACTTATAACTTAGAAAGAAACACTTCCATAAATTAAAATGATTTTGTAGTCCCAGTTATAGTAAAATGTCACATAAAACAAAATTATTGAGTGCCTACAAAGTGTTAACAGCTGCTCTAAATGTTTACATAAGTATTTCCCTTCGTTTCCTACTAAGCAAATCTCTGCTTATCTGCATCTTGCAGCTGTATTCATAAACTTTATTTTTTAGGCCACAAAGTTTATTTTCGGAGTCGTTTTCACTGTAAAAGTGTAAACATAATCATTATATCGTTCGTCGAAAATGATGGGCCTGGTCTTAAAATAAATGTAACGATGCTATGCGTCGGAGAGAGTACCTACGTACTATTACGTGTACACTGGTCATTATATCAAGCAGAACTTAACACATCTATCAAATTTGACGCTTTAATTGTATAGCAGTTGTAACATGATATTTCCTCTGAAGGTACCTGGAATAGACCGAACTCGAATCATCATCATCAGCCTATAAGTGCCCACTGCTGAGCAAAGGCATCTTCTCATACGGAGAAGGTTAGACCATTGATCACCACGCTTGCTCAATGCGGGTTAACGATTTCAAACATATAATTAGAAATTATAAGTCCAGGTTTCCTCACGATGTTTACCTTGACCGTATGTCAGTGGTGTCTAAATAATCATAGAAAGTACATATAACTCGGAAAAGTCACATTGGTACCCGCCAGGTTTCGAACCCGCACCCTTATGCATGAGAAGCGGGTTCGGTAACCTCCGGGCCACCACGACATTTCTCAATAACTCAAATATTAAACAGTGAACCTTAACACAAATGAATCTGTTCTACTAGTAGTCTTTGCATGACCTAGCTGACTCAACAGACGCAATTGTACATACTAATAACAATATAAACGAATACTAATTAAAATAATTATACAATAATTGTAATAACAAAGAGGAAAAGTAGGTGATTGCGTTCTTACGCATACCGCTCGACTGATCGAAAGCAATCTATACCAAATACTTGTATTGTTACGTTTGGACGTTTCACCGTTATTATTTTGCCTTTAGATAGTGGATGTAATGATACATTCATATCGTGCAGTTAATACATTGTAGGCATACACATGCTACGTTTAAGTGTAGGAGAGCCAAGCTCTGGCGCGAATAGGTCGGCTCGACTCGAGTGAAACCACGGCCTCACAGAAAACTGCCGTGAAACTAGGTGGGTAAAGTGCCGGAAGACCAGTCCTTCCGCTTCCCCATTCCTCCTTCCTTAAATCGCCAAAACCGCCCTAAATAAATCTGCAACGCACTCGTTTTGGTCTTGCGGGTGTCCAGGGTCTGCGTCGATTGATTACCATCAGGAAGTCTTTCAATTAAAACCGTATCGTTAAATGTATCTAAGCGACTCTTTAGGTCGTCGTGGCCTCAAGGATAAGACTCCCGGTTCTAAAACCTGGCAAGTTTGAATGTTGTTCCTTAACTTGTATATGTACTTTTTAAGTGTAGGTATTTAGACGCCACAAAAAACTGTGAAAAAAAACATTGATCGTGAGGAAACCTAGAATAATTTCTAATTATTAATTTGAAATCACCAATCCGCCTTGAGCAAGCGTTGTCATTTATGCTCAAACATTCTGAGTGTCGTAAAGCCAAAGACCTCTTCTTTCCACCTGTGTGAGAAAGACGCCTTTAACTTTTTATTAAATGTCATCGCCATATTATTTTAAATAAACATATCTGTTATTTTAACAGCTCAATACAGCTAGGCGTTTTTGGAAAGTGAAAATTGTACGTGCTGCTTTCAGACGGCAAAAACATCATCTATTTATTTGATGATTGCAACGGAGTATGAAATTTCAAATTTAAATGCAATTTTGTATGTCTGCACTCCTATCATATTAATTGTAGACTCCGATAATTCAGGCGGACGATGAACGCGGTACACATAGTTTGTCGTTGTGTTTGAGAAAGTAGCTTGCGCAATTTGGATCGCTAGAACGACTTGCGTACAATTGTTCGACTACATTTTTTGTCTGTAGACTATAGCTATAATAAATATAAGCACGTTTAGATGGAATTGACGTCTGGATGAAATGGCATTAATATTTTTCTAATAGTAGAAAAATATGAATGTAAAGAACATAATTTTCATGTAAGAAACCTTAGGGCTTTTTTCCTAACAGAAATTTAAGCCCTATACTATTGTCTTGTAAACATTACCTCATATCTAATTAAGGTAGCTATTACTGACCATAATGATATAATTAAATAATTAAACATTATCTAATTGGGGAAAGGCTATCGTAGTAATATCAAAGTAAGTATTTTACATATTCACTGCTACTAATCATATTAAGTTTATATAAATTCGTCGTAACTGTAAACTAGACCTATTGTAATAGACATTTTTTTATCTCTCAAACATGTGTAAGTATCGTAAATAGCTTTTAATGAATTTTTTCCTTATAAGTCGCGTCGTCAATAAAAGAAGCAAATAAACATTTTTCATCAAAATATCTCCTATCAATGAATCTCATAAAAGGGACAAAAAAATTATGTAGATTAGCCATACACATTTTATTTTAGCTCTGTAACAAATAAAACAAATGAGTTCATTAAATCTGCCCACTAAGATAATATACCAGTGCAATGAACTTTCTCTGCACTTGGTGATTTGGCCGTCTAGTCCTGGTAATCTGTTGATAAATATTTACAATGTGTTGGCAAGTATCCTTAAAGTATACATAGGGACAGAGAAAGCGACTTTGGTTTATACCTACTTTGTAGTGTTTAATATATTAATATTTCACACACTTCCTGCAATGACTTTCGAATCGGCCGATTGTAAGCGATCTGGACGAAAAAGTAAGCTCATGTCCAAATTTCAAAAAATAAATTAAAAGTAATAAATGCATCCAAAAGTTTCAGAAATGTAAACAGACTCTCTCTCGCCATTTTAAAACATAATAACTGCAAAAAAAGTCTGAAGTCAATCGTCGATCTAATCGATTTCGTCGATTATCTATAATAAGGCACACTCAACCTTATTTGAATACTTTACTATTTTTACAAAATAAAAAAGCTTTAACTAAATACTTAGCTGTTTGGAGGCGGGGAAGGATTGGGCCTCCGGTAACCTCGCTCACACGGCGAAACACAACGCTGTGGTTGTTTCACGCCGGTCTTCTGTGAGGCCGTGGTATCACTCCGGTCGAGCCGACCCATTCGTGCCGAAGCATGGCTCTCCCACACTTCCTTATCCTTAAATATCCGAAACCGTTATCTCCAAAAGACCAGCAACGCACTCATTACTCCTTTGGTGTTGCGTATAGGTTACCCAAAGGCGACTTTCCATATTCCATAAAAAAAAACTATAAGCACTCAGGCTTAAGACTACTTTTAAGACAGGAATGTTACGCGGTTTAAAACCGCTGCGGATATGTGTGCGAAACAGCGAAATAAAATTCACGTATGTTTTTCAACACCAAGTTGCGATTAATTTCCAGACAATCTACACTAGACAATACATAAGATTCAAAGTTTTTCAGGATTGCGAAAAAAACCACGTGGAACTTAGCTATTATTTGTCATTTGCCAAAGATAAGAAACTGCACTCTTTTTAATTATAAATTAATGTCTAATGATGATTAGTTAGTAGTAGTTAGCTAACTAGTTTAAAATGACTTCTTTTGTATAAAAAAGAAGGACAGACAAATTTATAGTCAGTAAGGAAAGAAATCTTTCACTGATCCTACATCACAAAATCTTGACAGCTGAAGAATCGAGATAAGAATATCGAGTAACAATCGAGTCTATGCAATACGTAATAGTTTAGTTTTTATTTTCCAACAAAAAAGTAATAACAGAGCATGAGTCAGGACTCATGGACAGTTTGACCTTCACATCGGTTCTTTGAACCCATGAGTTTAGTCGAAGCGAGGCTAGCTACAGATATGTATAGGTAATCTGTTACTTTGTGATTAAAATTATGATTTATTAGTTCCTTGGTGATTAAGGTATGTTTTAAAGTGTGCGGCGAATGTTTTTTAACGTGCGGGTGTGTTTTCTATGTGCAGAGACAACAGAGACGGCTTCGACAGGTCCGGGCCGGGCCGGCATAGCGAAAAGTTTGGTGGCAGGCCGGAGCGAGGCGAGCGGTGAGTGCATACTATTTATACTTGTTATGTTAAATCTTTTGCTTTGTTACAAATTCAATAATGGATGCTATAGACACCAGTTTCGATTGTAAAGAGAAACATTTTCTCTTTTCAATCTAAACCTAAAAAGGCATTTCAGAATATCGATCGCTATGGCGTTTTCGCACATGCGTCGTGTTTTAATTAATTTAGAGTATAGTACAATTTTAAAGTTGTTAATTCAGTTTCTTAAAGTTTCCGTTTGGTTTATTATTACAATCTCCTAAGAGATGATAAAATTATTAAGACGGCATTGCTATATTCTACTGAAAACTGATATAAGACTTGAAACCACGCGAGTAATTCCAAAGTATGCATTATATCGAATTACATACAACGCAGTTATGACCGCACATTAATATGTATCAAGAGAAATTGTCAGTAGAAAAAGTGATCGTTCGTGCTAATCGAGACTACGCTCATTTTAAACGTATCTAATGATATACTCCACAAACTCTGTTGTCTCTGTGATGGTGTAGATTTAAGAAACTTTGATAGAAAAATCGATAAATTATTGTAGTATTTATATTACATGACACAATAATGTATTTTCGCTTTAGGTTAGTGACGTTCTAAATTACTAATGTGTAAAGGTAAACCTTAGAATATAATAAAATGTTTGATTAACAGTCCTTACAACGATAGACGCGGAGGGCCGCCGAAGCCTCGTGAGAATGTGCCGTCCTCCGTCGGTGACGACGAGTGGGAGGAAACTCCTTCTCAACCGACAACCTTCCAACCTCCTCACAGGCAAAATAGAGACAGGGATAACAACCCTAGAGAATACACTCCGAGGGATAGAGACAGCAACCCGAGAGACAGGTATGTGATATCCATCATAATACACTTCCCTACACATACAAACTTGATTTTAAACGTTAAAAGTATAAACCTGTTTCCGATAACAAAAATCAAACTACCAATTTACAATCACGTAATTTCCCAACAAAAAAGTAAACGCATAAATTATCTTTAAAATGCAACGTCCACTTTCCCCGATGCAATGCGTTAATTATGAATTAGGCTGTTTTATAAAACAGTTGCAATGATTCGACAGAAGAAAGCCTAGGTCGGAAAATCAACACGATAAGCCGGGTCAAAGACCTGGTTGGAAGAAGGATTCGAGTGGAGTTGGAAAAAGGTTAAGGCAAGCCGCGGAAGCTGCTTCCTTGGACGCCCAAAACGCTCCTACGAAGGGTGCTTCCATACAGGATAGACTGAAACGGTACTGTGGTGTATGTAGCACGACACATCACACGCCCTCGACACCGGCTGTCCCGCTTACTGCTCCATCAACATTAATGCTTTATCCTTTGATCGTTGTGTGCCATTGTATGTGCGGTTGTTTTTTGTTTGCGTTTTGTCTGACACTCGCTGATTCTCCCTCTCACTCCATCACAAAGGAGCCGAGTCAGTAGTGTACTGTTGTGTGTGGTAAGCTGTTTATTGCAGCACGTTAGATTGCGCGATACTAAACAATTATGAACTAAAGCATTAATAGTTGAATCAGCGTCGTTCTCGTTGTCTCGCCCTATTTGCTTGCCACGCTTGGTTTGCGCCGCACATTTGTATCGAGCGTATTCAATACGTTGCGTCTATGTCGGCTCTTGTTTATAACATTCCACCGCACAATGATGTCTTGAGGAGTCATTAAGTGTTATAGCAGCACTGCTCTACTGCCTTTGTAATTCCATGAATATAATTGTAGATATTTACAGCATTTCCTCTTCAATTTCGTTTTTATCTCACGTTAGATGCTTGGTGTGGTCAGCACTGTAATTTTGCAATATTATTTAGGTACTACGATGCATACTCATATTAATAATAACTAATTTAATTTAAACTAATTTCACTCTCCATCGGTTTCACAGTGTCTGAAAAAAAATGTATATTATTTGCTGTGAAAGTGTTAACATATTTTAACATGCAATAACATGATATTTCAAATGATTACATTTTTTCTACAACTTTGTTCCTGGTTTGCAGGGATAACAAGCATAATCAACACGATGACCGTGATGACAGACCTCAACGAGAGAACCGTTTCGATCGCTCTGACCGCCCTGACCGATCCGACCGGCCTGACCGTCGTGATAACCGGGACAACCGTGGAGACAGGCGCGATAACTGGGGGGACAAGAAAGAAAACTGGAACCAAAAGAGAGATTTCCGACCCAACGACAGAGCACCAAGGAGCAACTTCTCACCAAGAGACCGCGCAGAGCGTTCATTTGGATCCGATGATAAGAAGTCTGACAAAAGCTTTAGGTCTCAGGACAGTGGCAGAGATCGCGTGGGTCGCGCCCCACCTTACAAAAGTCGTAGCAAGTTCACGCAGGTGCAGTACAAGGAGCTCCCCAACCCAGTACCACTCGACACGCCATTCCTCGAGCCCACGGCCGTGGAACCTGGCGCGCAACACGAGGTCTCTGTTACTTGGATCATAAACCCCGAATGCTTCTTTGCACAGATAATGGCTCTGCAGCCTAAATTCCTAGAAATGATGCACAAAATACCAGAGATATACAAAGGCGTGAAATCTTACACGGGTGAAGTGCCAGTCGGCGGGTCTGTGTTAGCTCGATACCCTGTAGATGGCGTGTTATACAGAGCTACCATCGAATCTGTACAGCCATTCTCAAAGTTCATAGTTCGATATGTAGATTTCGGCAACAAACAGCTGGTCGACGCTAAAGATATTTGGCAAATGGATCAACAGATGATGGAGTTGCCCAAGATGGCCGTTTGTTGTTCTCTATCAGGCGTTATGCCAGTGGAAGGTGAATGGAAGCCCAACAACCTTGATATGGACTTGTGCTTTAACGCGCCGCGGTATCAATGTATATTCCAGGAGTTTGTTGAGGACCGCTACAAGGTGTCATTATGGAACAATGGCGTCAGTGTGGCTGATATGTTGGTAGAAAAGGGATTGGCAAAACTATCTGAACATCAGTCGTCTGTTACTTTGAAAGGTAAGATCTAAGATGCATATTCGTGTTCACCTGCATTTAAAACATCTTTGGAGCATTTTGTGCTAAACTCTTTACTTGTTTCAGACGAAGCTATCGACCTGACAATCATCGTAGGTCAGCAGATACTCTGTCGAGTGACCCATGTAGAGTCTTATGAGAAATTCTTTGTGCAACTTGATATGGACAAAGCTGAGCTGGTAGAAGACGCTATCGCCAACTTTGACACTTCTAAAGTAAGTAAAAACATAATAAAAATAAATGTGCTATTTCATTTTTAATGTGCTTTAGCACTGCCACTGTAGGAGCACACAATTAAATCTATAATAACATGCCTCAGAACTCGAAATCTTGAAGTTTATCAACACCCACTAACATACGTTCATTATAATATCAATTATTTGAAAGTGTGGGAGAGCCATGCTTCGGCATTTATGGTCCAACCAGAGTGATACCACGTTCCCACAGAATACCAGCGTTAGAAAGCGCTTGCGTTGTTTGGCCGTGAGAATGAAGTTACCTGCCCTATCCTCCTGTTCCCCGTCCCGTTTCGTTCTCGCTCGTCCCCGACCAAGTCCGCCTTATGCACCAGTTTTTCAGCGTTAAACTTAGCTAATAAATACTCATTTATTTCATAAACCTAATATTTGTTTACTACTTCACAGTTGACCCCATTGACCGCCGACAACCTTGCCGATGGGATCCACTGCACAGTGAAGCATGACGGTAAAATAAATCGAGCTATACTAGAAAATGTAGCTGACCCAGCCAACATCACCGCTGTGTTGCCAGACTATGGAAAATCTATTACTACTTCTTTGGAAAATGTAAGTAAAATTACAAACCTTTCTTATTGTTGCGTATGTAGTCTAGTCAAACATATTTTTAGAATTTCCAAGAACATGATGTACATGTGTTTAGCATTTCCTACTACTACTACTATTATATTACATAGATAATTGAAATCGCATTTTTGTTCCTGATTTTATGGTAAATTTCTTATATGCAGTTTCGAAAAATCTGTTACTGTATGCAAAATATTTCATATCTTAATTTCAGCTCATGATCTTACCAACGGAACTGAGTGTATACTACTATCAGTCTCTGCAGTGCAGCCTAAACAACTATACAGAGGAAGCTAAGAAACTTATGACCCTTGAAGAACTGAAGGCCAAGCTTACAGGGAACAAAGTCATTGTCTACATTAACCATGTGGAAGAGATCACGTAATTATTTTCATTTCTTTATTAATTTTATATGATTGTAAAAAAAATTTTCTTTGACCAATTGAATGTTTTAGGCGCAATGCAGAGATTCTAGCTATTGTTATCTTAATTTTTACTTTTTGATAAAACCAAGCCAAATCTCTTACAGCCATTATTCATCTCAGTAACCGATTAATAATAACTTACGATTTGACATGAAATATCTCTAATAAAATATTCGAATACATATATTATGTACTTATATGCTGTCATGAATTGTTTCAGGTTGGTAACAACACTGTATGATTGTGTGACTGGTCAAAAGATTGCTGTGTTTGAACCGGACGAGGGTGCTTATGATGAAGTTATCCAGTTATGCATGAGATCAGTCTTTAATTACAACTTTGGAATGGCCTACATTGCTCATGCTGAAAACTTGAACGAATTCTATCTGCAGAAAGCAAGTGATGGCGATAAAATCGCTCTGTTACTTGATGAACTCTACAAATTCTATGAAGAAGGTAATCATTATTTCGCTTATAGTATTTTTTAAATGTTCCATGCTTAAACTAAATAAAACTCTTTTCATGAAATGTTGACAACTGAATAGACACGTAACAAAGTGTTTGCTTATTATTTAATATGATTTTTTATATTATCAGGAACACCCGAAGCCCTCACTACTTTTGAAGTCGACGGCATCTGCGCTGCCCACTCCGCGGACGGCAACTGGTACCGTGCCACTATCATCAGTGTAGAAGATACTCAAGTTAAAGTGCAATATACTGATTATGGTAACACAGAAACACTTCCCAAGGAATCGCTCAAAGTACTTGACCCCAAATTCTATGAACCTTGTGCACTAGCGTTAGTAGCTAGCTTAGGTCTTGTCGCCCTACAAGAAGACGCCCTCGCGAAACTAAAAGAATGGACCAATGAAAAGGAGGTGCAGGTCACACTCGCGATAGGCACTGATGGATGGCTGGCCAGCTTGCATTTAGATGGCGTGGATTTGTCAGTGAAACTGGTAAATGAGAAATTAGCCACACCACAAATAAATGCTGTTGAAGAAGAGAAAGTTGAGGAAACCCAAACTGCTGTGCTTTCCGAGCCGATATCTTTACCAGAAGGTTGTACTCAAGTGTACATCAGCCATATTGACACTCCTGGCCACTTCTGGTTGCAAATGTCCGAGAAAATATCCAAGCTCGACGAACTTCAAGCAGAACTTCAAAATACTGCCAATACATTTAGTAATCTGGAAAATCCGGAATTAGGTACGTGGTGTATCGCCAAATATATGGCTGACGACCAATGGTATCGAGCTGAGATCCTTGACTCAGATTCAGACATTATTACGATTCGCTTCATTGACTACGGCAACACGGATGTGCTTGACAATCAGCCTGGATTATTGAAAGAAATGCCTGCAACATTAAAAGATGTGGAAGCCTATGCGATCAAATCTAGCATTAACGCAGTGCCCACTGGTACAGGCCAGTGGTCAGAAGCGTCCTCTGAATATTTCACACAGCTTGTAGGCGATTTAGCTAATGCTGTAGACGCTCTTATCGTCCTCAAAGACGTTATAACCTACGTAGATATCTATGTTCAAGGGAATAATGTGACTGATAAACTAGTGACTGCAGGCTACGCCACTAGGTCAGAAGAACCTGACTGTGGAGACTTGCCGTCCTGCTTTGCCAGTCATGTAAACTCACCATCGGAATTTTGGATCCAATTAGAAACAGCGACCGCGGAACTTCAAGCAATGGAGGCTGCAATGGTAGATGCAGAAAACTTCCCAGAGTTGACAGACAAAGAGGAAGGTGTTATTTGTGCAGCTAAATACCCAGAAGACGGAGCTTGGTACAGGGCACAAGTGATTGTTGATGGGTCGGAAGGTACTGAGGTGCTATTTATGGATTACGGAAATGCTTCCATAGCTAACGAATTAAGAAGCCTACCAGATGAACTTAAAGTGAAGCCTGCGCTTTCGAGAAAATGTGCCTTGCAGAAACCGCGTGACGTTAAATGGTCACGTCAGTCTGAAATTAGGTTTAATGAATTAGCTGCAGAAGGAGCCACTATATTTAATGTCCAATTCATAGCATCTGGTGATATCTCTATCGTCGAATTATTCCATGAAGGAAAATCTGTGACTGAGGATCTTTTAGGACTTTGTGAACAAATAGCGGCTCCGAGACCCGCTCCCGTGGGTCAAGATATATTTGGTAGTGGTAAAATCTGCTTCGTCAAGGGTTTGGACGAATTCTACGTACAACTAGACGAAGTGAACACCGATCTTGATAAAGTGACGGTGAGAATGAACGATTTTGAAGAATTTGAACCTGCAACCGATCTAAAAATAGGGTCTATTTGCGCTGCATTCTGGGCTGAGGATGAACAGTGGTACAGAGCTAAAATATTAGAATTTTGTGATGTTGGTTACCATGTACAGTTTATTGACTACGGAAATAAAGCTAAATGCGAGGAATTCCGAAAACTACCTGATGATATCGCATCGATTGAACCTTTAGCAAGAGGATGTCGTATTATGTTAGAAAGTGGTGATGAAAGTTTACAGGAAGAAGGTAAAAATAAATTAGATCAGCTCACTTTAGATGACATTACCGTGTGCATAGAATTTTTGGATAGCACGGTCAGTCCAAGTCTCGTTAAGCTTTCTTATGGTGGACAAGACTTTTATTCTGACCTCAAAAGTAGTAATGCTAACAACCACGCGGAAGAAGCGACAAAAGAAGAAGCCCTTCCGTCTTCTGAACACGAAGTTGTAAAGGTACCTGAAGCAGCAACAGCCTCTGATATCGCAACCAGTGACATAGATACAGTAGAATCGCTAGAAACTCAAAACGAACAAAACACATCACAAGCAGATCTTAATGAAAGTACGGAGAGCAATCACACTGTTATTGAGAACAAATCTTTCGAATCTAAACAAGATAATCTAAGTGTCGAAATTAACGCCGATGAATTAAAGGCTTTAGAAACTGACAAACCCTCGGACAACGCAGAAGTTACTGAATTAAGCAAACCCAAAAATAGCGCAGAAACTGTCGAAGCTGTAAATATTGAACAAGCCTCTGCTCAAGTAGAATCAGTAGAACAAACTGCCGAAATAAAATCTGACGTTAATGAAACTGAGATACTTGTGGCTGAAAAAGAGAACCTAGCTAAAGAAGATGACAAAGCAAAATCTGTAGTTACAGAAGATACAGATAAAACCGAAATTAAAGAGAATGACGTAGAAAAACCTGTTGATAATGTGACAGAGCCACCGGGCAGCCCTGTTAAAAATGCGACTGACTCAACGGAAAAGGTGACTGAAGCGGGTGACACTAAAACAGAACCCGTTAATTAGACTTAGGATGTAAATACGGCCGAATAAGATATTTTTTGTGAGTAAAGTCAAAAAAATTACATTGTATCATATTAATCTTTTTGAATTTAACCAATGTAAAGTGTCTTATAACTGTTTGAAATTATACATGACTTTAGTTTGCTTCGTATTTTGGTAAAACCAAGTGCCAATCTCGTTTTGGCATTAACGAGCAGCTTATTTTTATATAATGTCGTACGAAGTACATAAAGACTAAAATATAATAGTTAAGGTTTGGCGTATGATTGTTTTGTGTATTTTTTACGCAGTCGTTTAATTATTTGATTCTCGAATTACGTAAATTGATGTTATGAAAGTGTCTGGAAACATTTCTTATTTTAATTGTCTGTTTTTGTTATGTGTTTTTTTAATGTTTTCGCGAAAAGGATATAAACGTACATAAATGAAAGTATATTACAGTTATTCTTTTTACACACATATAAATACTCATATTTGATTTTATTTTAGGTTTATCGTATGTTATGTCGCGTCGGTATTAGAGTTGGTTATTTTACCATATTTCATTGTCAGTTCATAAAGCTATTGAAACATCTGTATGTACATACATAATTTATTGTAATAAAACACATTCCCTTCATGAAACATTTGTAGAGCATGTCACCACAACTACATACCGAAGGTATATTGATTATTATTGTTGTTTTGTTTAGAATCATCTTATAAGATAAGGACTGATGTCAGTCTTGTCCAGAGATGTTACGTTTTTTTTATTATTATTAAAGATATGCAAATATAAATAAGTTGATTATTATTTGTCTAGTTCTTTAACCTCGAGAAATATTAGTACTACAGGCATGAGTAAAAACTATAGACCAGCATAATCTGTATCCAATTGATGAACCTGGAAGCAGCTGCAAACTGTAGGATGTATGTAATTACATCAGAAAAGCAAGTTAGTAGTGGAAAGGGTCAGGAACAACTTCGTGGAGAATGTTATGACCAGTGATCAGAGTAGGTAGATTGATTTTTGGTACTTGTATCATAAATGCACACAGAAAGATAACATGGATAAGCCATTTTCCCGGAAACGGGATTCAGTTACATATAGTTAAACATTAACAATATTTAATTGAATTGTTCCTACTCAATTCAAAAAATAAATTATATCAATTATCTATAACCAAGTTGTTATTCAGCGACTGAGTATTTTATTTCTTTTAAAAAGATTTCATACTACACTGCTATCCCAATAATGTTTAGAAATATTGAGAAGATCTTTTTAACTTAGTCTGGTTTCTGTACCTTAAAACAAAAAACAATTGATTCGAAGTATCAAAACTAAATTAATTCATTATTTACCTGTTGAATAATAAAAACAATCTTAATTTTTATTTTTAGCCTCATATGGCTAGAACTTTTATAGATAGACATAAATAGTTTCACTTAAATTTAAATATGTTCATAGTGGTCTTGATAATTTGCACTAAGGGTAGAACAATAATGACGGGGCTCCCTTAAAGCCAATGCCTGCTGAGGTCGTGAGACTGTTCTAAGGATGCACTACGACTCTAAAACGTAAAGGGCATACGAAGGAACAGGTTGATTTTAGTGAGACTTGAGGACCAAAAAAGAAGTAGAATAAATAATTTTAAAATTTTATTACAATTCCTTCCCCATTTTTGAGGATGGCAAATCATCAAATGACTCCTTCCACTCAGGCAGAATAAAATTCCTACATAAGTTTTGTTTTTTTTTTAAATTATGCACCATTTCCGGAGCAGTTTCCATATTAATATATACGTTTCGGATCAATGACCCCATTTCAATCTTAGGTAGATTGATCAGATCACTGGTTATGACTAATCAAAATTTATAAAATAATACAATAATAAAATATGATCGTAATATCACACAAAATAAAATTATTTCTTCCGAAATGACACCCTTATTAGTCTTAATGCTGGTTTCCTACATTTTTATCAATTTATAACTACTCTTCTGAGTTTCGGACCATGTTTGGTTTTCTCTTAACTTAGATATCAGATGATGAAAATAATATGTAACGGTAAAACGGGGTGAATAGAGACGGAAGAGGGGTGAATAGATACAAGGAAAATTCGCCAACATCTATGCACCGTTCTACGGTATTTATTTTCTTCGACTGTAATAAAATTAAGTGCATTTAAAAAAAATCCAAGGTATGTATTGTTCTATGTTTTTTATTCTACATTTTCAATATTACGTAGAAACAAAATATAACAAAAACATCTATACAATGTTACAAATATGGCCTTATTTCATTGCTCTTACAAAAAATACGAGATTACCTAAAAGAAAATTACATTAAAAAATAAAATGACGGGAGCTAGGCTTGAATATTGGGAGTGAATTTCAAATCATTTTAAATTATACAGTTTCTAATTATTAAAACTTATAGCCAATGTGATCATTCACGTATCAGCTACAAACCAAGATAAAATATGCCATGGTCACAACTGCCTGAAAGAATCAATCGAATCAAACATAAGTAAGTAATATTATAAAACAGTATTATTGCGTTTGTTAATTATATACTTTGACTCTTTTGGATAATAACTTAATGATTGGAAATCGTGGAAAAAAAAACATCTTGTCTTTGCATGCATTTGAAGTATGATACTAACAGCAGTTTTTTTGAGATTGTTTATGCATTCTAGACAGTATGTTGTATGCTAGTATAAAAACAGTAATTACAAAATGTACAAGGCAATATTCTAGACTCCACGCTATTACTGAAAACAAACACTTTAAAACTATAAAATATACAAAAAATATTATTTTATGAGTCCTATTACTCCAATATCTTTCATATCTTCCCTTTTTTCTAAAATCAGTCCTTTCTCGTTTGCTAGATGGAGTAGTGAAAGTAATGCTAGGGGTACACTGAGTGATTCACGCATGTTCGGTGTCAACTTATTTGGTAACTGTTTATAAATTTTAGCAAAAGAAGTCTGTTTAACTTCTTCTTTTTGCCCATCATCCTTTTTATCTGTGAGCAGTTTCCATGTGCAGTGTTTGAGTTGTTTCATGTCTACCTTTTTCGCCCGCATTGCGTATGGTATGAAGATTTTCGCGACCTGCAGAAGAAGTTAATGTTTCAAGATTATTATTTAAATTAAAGATTAGGTTATCATTTTGGTAGACGAATGGTACCTTAGTGGGTGGTTCCAACATGTCTGTAATCTCCTCTGGTTCTGCTGTTTTCACTTGGTCGTGTAGGTCTCCGGCGGCTGTCGCGTCTTCGTTACCCCAATCGTCGCCATCCTAGCATAAACCAGAACAATTAGATAAAATGCAGATATCTTCAACTTCTCATCAGCAGTCTATCAACTTCAGTACAAACTTTGAAAATACAATACACAACGCTTTACGCGATCCCATAAACCATTTTATCAGTTCTTTGCACTAAGAAACAACTACTACGTGATTTAAACTTGATAAAATACTTACAGGAATATTGTTAGGGCAATACGAAGCATCATTCTCGTTATTGTAGTCGTAGTCTCTGGCTTCCTCCACTGTGACGGGCTCCGGTTCAGGTTGCTTGCTTTGCTCCAAGTCACGCTTGCGCAACAACATCACATTTTGACGAAGGAACAGCTTTCGGAAATGAGATTCGTCTAAACCTCTGTTAAAAAAAGTTAAAATTAATTAAGGCTTGTGTGGTAATTCATTAAATTATTAGACACTAGCTTTTACCAACGACTCTGTTCGCGTGGAATAGAGACTTCCTGCAGATTTTTGGTATAAAAACTATCCTATGCCCTTTCTCGAGCTATGTCTATCCCAAATTTCACAGAAATCGATTCAGTAGTTCAGGCGTGAAGAAAAGACAGACAGACAGAGTAACTTTCGCATTTATAACATTAAAACGTAAGCATCAACATTGCCCTGCTTTGATTAACTATTATTCATACTTTTCATCAACTGTAGGTACATTCAAGTTCATTTTACTTACCTATCAATAGGGGTTTTAAAGTTAGCTTCATTCCACGTGTGTCCAGTAGCTAGTGTTTTCCTACTGATCATGATCTTGGCCGGCTGAGTGGGCTCATATTCTCCAACAGGATCCGCTCGGCAGTCGAACGCGAGACCTGCTCCTAGAAAGTCTAGCTGGCGTTTTGCACGCGCCGGCTTTTTGCCTTCCACTGCTGTTATACGACCGGCGGTAGATTGAGTGCGTTCTGTCATCTTTGACGCTGTGGAAGTAGTAATCAAATAGGTTGAATTTCATTAGTACTTAATCATATTATAATGTTTTAATTATTTCAGTATGCAAACACTTCTATTATCAATAATAAGAAATAAATAAATACTTAACACTTAATTAATTGAAGTGGCGATATCTGCGTAACTGCTGGCATTTATTGAATATTGAACTCAGTAGTGTTTTAATGCATATGTCCATTACCTATTAGATTAGATGGAATCATAGCCTTAAAGTTCTAAGAGATAATTTCAAGATAAGTATATAATACCTCTGTTATTCTTAAGCCGCCAATGCGAGGGCCCAGCCCAGGCGGTGACGATGGCCCCACAGTAGGAGTACTCGAGTCGCGTGTCGTGCGGCGCGACGGGGCGCATGTCGGTGATGCGCGCGACGCCCGCCCCGCCGCACGCGCGGGCCACGCACGCCGCCACCGCTACATCCGCTTCTTCTTCGCTTTCTATACCGCCCAATGGCTCGTCGTCTGTAAATAATTAATAGAATGAGAATACAGAATTTACAATATAATAAACAAGCTTCCACCCTCGGATTCGCACGCGTATAAAAGTATCGCAGGATTTTAAAAACAGCAGCGTTTAAATCTGTAGTTCGACTAAAATACGCTAATCAAGTATAATTTATAGCCTACAGCACTAAGGAACATTGTAGCTGTCTATCAGTGAAAGAATTATGGAAATCAGACCGGCGGTTCCAAAGATTACCCCTACATACAAACTTACAATTTTACCTCTTTATAATATTTAATTAGTTTTAGATAAGAAGCTTGCTGTCACCGTGTGTCCACTTTAAGCTTTCTCAAGAAATTTTTCTCAAGCGATATTAGCATAAAAAATGCGTTTATTACTGCCAACAAGCTTCGTTTTATAATAGCGAATAAAATCCTGTTAGTTGCGCAGTGTCAAGTATTTTATAAATAGCTTACCATACAAATCATTGTGCTGTTCATCCTGCGGTATCGGTTCTACCTCAGCATTGACGTCGAACGCGAGCGCCTGTTGTGACAAGTTCAGTCGATTCTCTTCCACCCAGTTGTTCACTCGATTATCACTGAATAAAATAAACATTACTTAAATATTTTGATTTTTTTTTTATGGTGTATGGTTGGTCGGCAAACCGCGCCGCCCATGTACACCCAAGGAATTTCGAGTGCGTTGCCGGCCTTTTAGGGATAGGGCTTTTGGATATAAAAGGATTAGGAAAGGATGGGAAGAGGGGGAGAAGAGGCCTCTGGTAACCTCACTCACACGGCGAAACACATGGCTGTGGTTGTTTCACACCGGATTTCTGTGACACCGACGTATCATTCCGGTGGAGCCGACCTATTCGCGCCGAAGCATAGCTCTCCCACATTCCCACACATAGCGTAATAACAATCATAGGTAATTGTTATTAAAACATAATTTTGATATCCAAGCTAGATCAATACAATCCGGGATATAAGGTCAAGCGTAATAATGTACTGGAGCAGGAATAGGAATGGGGTGATGATTTAGTAAGAGTCTGAGACTCCCTTTCCACTACCCAGGTGGAGAAAAATCTATTGACAATATCAAAAAAGGTATTATAATTTTATATAAGGCTAACAGAAATATATTTTTATATCTTTTTGGTGAAATTAAATAAAAGGTAGATTAAAAATGTTATTTAATATATACTCACGTGTCTTCAGTATCGGGATCCCAATTGCTGATAGAGAAACCAGTGAAAGGTTCACATATGTGGTCACTGGTTGTAAACGCGGGCAGCAACTTTGATGATAATGTGATGCGCTCTGATAAGTCTATGCTCTGCTCCTCCGGAATATTCTCTTTAATTTCTTCTAAAAATCGATCATCGGTTCTGAAAAATATGTTGGCATCTTAAAATTGTAACTATATTTAATTTTATTATGAAACATCGAAAATAATGGTTCCAAATCTAAATAACAAATCTTTTTAACTTGTAGGAAAGTATACACAAGTATTAGATAGATGGTCAGCCCTAGTATGAGCAAAAATGTTATACATGCATACATGTCTCAAAGTCATACTTAAAAAAAAACTATATTTTTTTAAGGGTTTTTGTCTGGCATATGACTAAAATTATCCCTAAAAGTGCAAGAAATGAGTACTCAAGATCATTTTTTACCAATAAAAGACTTCTTATCTTTTTTTTTTAAAAAAAGTTGTCTTACACTAGAATTTTCGCACGCACATCACACACTGACCCGAAACAACAATTTGTAAATCACAGAAAGAATTGCGCCTCGCGAGAATCGAACCCCCGACATTTTACATAGCAGCCAGTTGCCCAGCCAGTGCTCACACTGTGTATTATTCATCATTGAGTACATTGCTAAAACTTATGCATACATGAATAACTTGATACAACTATGTAAGGAAAATGTAAGAGACAAAATAAACACTTTTTTTTTTTATTTGTCTGTACAGACGGCTTGTCTGTAAGAATAATACAATAAAGAAACGATCAGGTTTAAAAAAAATAAAAATAAAAAAAAACAGACATGAATAACTTAATACAACAAAATTATACATATGATGCTTTACCTTAATATCAAGGCAAGTGTTTTGTCGTGCATTGGCAGCGTCGCATTGAACGCCCTATTTGAAGATGTCAAATCACCGGTTGTCGCTGCTAGCCTCTCGAAGAATGGATCTGAAGATAAAAAAATTGTCCAGAAATAAATGCATTGCCCAGAAGTAAATACAATGATGTTGCAAATGCAGATTTTATTTATGTTACACTAGCTTCCGCCCGCGGCTTTGTATGCATATAAAAGTAATATATCCTGGGATTTTAAAAACAGCAGCATTTAAAGTGATAGCTCAACTTAAACAGGCAAATCGAGTATAGTAATCTACACTCGGTAACATTGCAGCTATCTTTCAGTGAAAGAATTTTAGTAATCCGACCAATAGTTCCCAAGGTTGCCCCCTACATACATATGTTTATAAATTTTACCTCTTTATAATATTATAATGCAGACCTGGATGTCCATATTGATGCAAAAATTGCATATTTGCAAATGTGAATACTAATATTGTTTTTATAATGAGTCAATTGAAAATTTTACTTTCAGAAAACCAATTTTGTTTCCAGGCCATGAGTGGTGTAAGAATTTTGAAAATTGAACAATTTTTTTATCTAAATAACTTGAGGAATATTGCAGGAATATTGTAAAACATCATAGAATATGAGATATGGTTCTAGGTAAATAAATTAAACTTCCAATTAAATGTTGTGAAACTCACCTATACAGTCATTAGTATCAAAATCCCCATTAAAAACTGCAGGGTTGGCAGCTATGGCACCTTTCGCCTTCTTTTTCTTCTTCTTAACTGGTGCAGCTGCCTCTCCTCCATCAGCTGCACCCTCATCTTGTGTATTGTTATCATCATCTTTCTTCCCTCTTTTTGCCTGCAATGAAAATGCATCGTGGATACTCACTTCTCCTTTTTACAATCCAGTTCATTAGGTGATCATACTTAAAAATGTTCAAAATGTTGACTTTAAAATTGTTTAAAATATTTAGATCATTTTATTAACCTGTTAACAAACATGTCATAACATATTCACACATGTTGACTCAACAATTATTATTGACATAAACAAGTTTTCCTTATTCAGATTCAGTACATTTATAAACAGTTATTTTTAAAACAAGAACTTTGGTCAAAATCTTGGGATAAAAATTAAACAACTTACCTGAGCAGCTTTACTAAGCCCACCAGCCATCTTCAAAACATCATAATGGACAGCATCAACTCTGAACGAGTATATCCTAGCCGATGCATCCACCACAGTTGAGGCAGTCTGTAGGTTATCCATCCGAGAGTCATGCCGCCTCAACATGGACGTCATAAAATCAATCAGCTGCAGGTTCCATGCATTATCTTTTGTTATTTTCTGGAATTAATAATTAATATGATATTACTGGCTGTCAGCTAATGGCAAATCAATACAACAGTTATGTTTAAGACATTGCTCTGCTGATATACCAATAAGTTAAATAAATCAGGCATAAAAACATGTAGAGTTGAAAGATACTAATGGATGAGAAATAAATGGCAATTTGAAGTAGTTTTCAAGACAATTATTTAAAACCACTTAAGGAACTAATATTACTTGCACAAAAGTAATAGTAGAAGAAAAATTATTCTTTCACATAAAAAGTACTGAATGAATTTGAATAAAATTTTACATTGAATTGGTCAAGTACAACTACTTATTTATACTGATGTAGGCAAAGCTACTGGCAGGGGCTTAAAATATTTTGAACTTCAGAATTTCAATGATAAGAGTTTAACTGTAAGACTATAATGATACTTTAGTACTTACATTTTCAGCATAAAGTTTAAGGCATCCTTGAAAATGTTCTTTCTGTGGTGATGAGGACATGGTGTCCCTACCTCGCCTAGGTGAGGCAGTATGTGGAGTCGAAGTAGCAAGGGCACGCTCTGATGCCACCAGGGACGACCTCTCAGCATCATCGTCATTGCGCTCCTGGAAGATATTTCATACCGTTTTCTAGTACTTGACACATTAATTATATCGTCTATTATCATAATATTGTTTTACTGGCTATGAAAACTTTAAAGTCATTGATTTTAACAGAAACTTCTGTTAAATTAAACGGTGGCTCTGTTTTAAACTACAGTCTAGTTAACTAAACTGTGGCTAGAAGTAAAATAAAGTAAACATTATTTTTATTATATTAATATAAACTATGAGAGATATGTAGATTTTACCTCATTTTTATTATTTGCCGGTGGTTTCTGTGGTATAAGACTTCGTCTGCGAATAGAACTATTGCTACTCCCGCCAATACTTATCCTGGTTAGTCCAGGCGTAGAACTTAGCGGAGTTTCTAACATAGTAGCGCATACGTAACACAAACCACTACGTAAACAATTACTATAAAGCCTACTAAGTATATTAACACATAAAACCAATAAATAAACCCACGGAACACTTTAGTATTTACAATTCTTCTAATATTTTAGACAAGCTTCAATCAAACTCAAAATTCAACGATCTTTGAAAGTTTGAAGTTTGAGTTTGAAACCGACCATTGAGATAAAAAATATATAGAGGCGCCCTGTTATTATAGATGTATACCCGCTTATACAAATATGGGTTAAATATGAAACAAACTATGAAATATAGTTTTTTCTCACTCTTTCTTAGGCAATAATTGTATGAGACAAAAGGGACAACAATATTTAAGTTGTTGCTTATTATGGCAACAAATCATTTTGACATTAGCAAAGTTGTAGGTAAGTGCCATGTCCGCCATCTTAAGCGCTCAGAGTACCTGAGTTTCATGGTAGTTGTGCTGTCAAACGGTTGTTTATGTTTTAAATTATTGCGGTTCTCCAGTAAATTACAAAGAACCATTGTTTTAAACTGCAAAGATATATAGTGAAACAAAAATACAATATGCCTGTGTGTTGTATTGTGCAGTGTGGTGCAAAAAAGAACGAAAATCAACCTAAATTGTCTTTGCATAGGTTAGTAAACAGTTTTCATCAAATATTACTTAAAATAATCCACATAGATAGAAAAAATGTTACGGATACTTGAATCTATTGCCAAAGTATATATATTTACTTCTATTTCTGTCTGTGAGACAGTTTAAGTAAAAAATTGTTGTTTACAATAATATGTCAATATGGCATAGTTACGTACCATTCCACAAAAGTATCGATATAATCTCCCATTTAAAATTCAACATAATATATTTTGTGTAAGGCTAAAGTAAGACGTCAGTATTTTGGTATTGGTTTTAGTTACATAAGTAGAAGTTCAAATTGTCATGTTTTATAACTATCCGGGCCCGATTGACAGAGCAGCGTTGGCGGCGATCCCAGTGCGACAACTAAGCTTAATAATAAAAAGTGAGATACATACAGTAATATTGACTTCACTACTTATCTATTTTATGCTAATGTAGTTTCGAAGATATCATCGCTTAATCCGACTAGCCGAAATTGTGCGCGAGCACATCACAAATTCCGACAGGTGTTGCACATACGCATTTAAGGGGCCCCATATTTCGGCGGATAAACATTTAACAAAAACTATCTTTTTCTATTTTACCATTCCATTAAACGCTGTTCCTAAACACAGTCCTATTTTTTAACTGACTTCAAAAAAAGGAGGAGTTTCTCAATTCGATTGTATGTTTTGTTTATTTTTTTTAAAGACGCTTGCCGTATAATTATATGGATACAAATTCGACTTAAGAAAATCATTAGCCAATCAAGAGACCTAGGTAACCCCGGGTTCCGGGCTCTCGGCCGACGGCAAAGTAGGAACAGGAGTTGATTTTAGTCAGTAACGGTCTGTCACGAAAAGTGCCGGAGATGACATTAGATGATTTCCCATAAAAAAATACCGTTAATCAGCTGGCTAATCCCTAAAGCTATACCTACGTAGAACTTATACTCAAATTGTATCGATACTCGTTAAATACGTAGTCGGCACAACCCTAGCAACGGCAGCCATCTTATGCGAAATTTTGGATTGTAGGTATGCACCTTTGTTTCGTAGGTATTTCAAGTCCTTATATTTCCTATGTCAATGAAACCGACAGATAGTCTACACAACAAAAATAGTGGTGCCCGACTGAAAAAAAAAAACAAATCTTACTATTAGCTATGAAACATTTACGACCATTAATTTATTTTTCTTATAATATAATTTATACTTATTTAACATGTTTTTCATTCGTAATTTTTTGTGACCAACGAATTAAAACCCGAAATATTCCTACCACACTTTGTACCTAAGTTTTATAAGTTTACTCGAAAACTTCTATTTAACTATATAACAGAAAAAATCTAGTTTTTAAATATTTTAATTGATTAATAATTTAATCTTAAAATTAAACTATTATAAAATTATTTAATCAACTTTTTAATGCCAAATAGTAAGGTTTCAAACTTCCCCCACTCATTACAGCTGTTTGTAAACGCATCGCTTGTTGCCAACTTCCCGTCAGTCATTTTGTTCAGTGGCTGATTTCTATGGTCGACGATATCGTTAAAAATCTTTAACATCGGCGAGTAATTTCCAAAGTGACATTATGAGTTCTGGAATGCCTGAATTGGGCTCCAAGATAAGCCTAATATCTAAAGCAGACATTCGCTACGAAGGCCGGCTTTTCACCGTTGATCCTCAAGAATGTACCATCGCTTTGGCTAGCGGTAAGTTGACAAATGGATCCTGTTAGCTTCTAACAAGATTTTCTTTCCCTTTAAGCTCTAGTAATTACCTGTTTTCCCTCTTCAATTTCCTTGCGAAGCTGATTTTTCCGTGCTGGAACATCGATCGACGTCTCTAGAAGACAGTTCTCCTTTTCCCTCCCGATTTATGCCCATCTTTGTTTATTGTTTGGGATAGCGTTCCAATATGTTTATTATTGGACATTTTACTTGTAATTTTCCATGGTTTTAAATTAAATTTTGCACATTGTTTTTCTTCTACCCTCAAAGAGAAATTGTTGGTCCCGCCTATGACCGCGGTTTCACATTGATGACGTTGATAACGTCTATATGTATGCTACAATATTGTTTTCTTCAGCAGCCGATGCATCAGCTGAATATCGCCTTGTAATAATCCGTACTTTCACAATTTTCAAAATTATTTACTATGTGAAGGTAGTAGTAGATTGACATATAATTTCGCTCACACTTATTATACTAATAATGGAATTAATTCTTTTCACTAAATAAGTTACCTACTAATACTTTTTTATCTACCCTCAATGTAGAAAAAGGTAGACAAAATCGTAACTAGAAAAGCTAACTTTTTACCACCTACCCTACGCCAGAATTGTGTTTCAAGAAGATCAAAGTTTTTTTTGTGTTTTCTGTCTACAGTGCGTTCGTTTGGTACGGAGGATCGTGAGACACAGTATCCTGTGGCACCACAGAGCCAGGTGTATGACTACATCTTGTTCCGTGGCTCTGACATCAAGGATATTCGAGTGCTAAACAATGTCCCTTCCATACCCAATGACCCGGCTATCATGCAGATGTCTGTGCCACCCACCCTGGGTGCGGGCAGTGCACCAGGCCAGTTCACGGGGCAATACAATCACCCTGTGGTCGGCCAGGCGCCTTACCCCCAGTACCACCCAATGGCAGGATTTCCCGGAGGTGTCCATCAGCAAATCAACAAGACCAGTGAGTTGTCTCCGCAAACCTCAGTGGAGCTGGCACCCCAGCCACCGCCTGTCACGGGTCCGATTGGCTCTGGAGTGGCGCATCACGCCAATCAAGTGAAAGACCAAGGTTTTTGCTCTTGGATAATTATAGCTTCTGCTTCAAAACATGCTACTTTGCGATTTTTGCAGTGTCATAAAAAGATACTTTACCATTCTCTTTCTCAGATCTCTACTCTTGTTTTGTTTTTTTAATCAAGTTTTTGTCAAAAATTTAAATAAAGTATCTAGTTATGATCAAACTACCTGTGCTTTAACAAAAAGTAACTATGCATGCAATTTTATATTACCGTAACATTAATAATATGAACATTTATATCTATGTATTATAATTATGCATAAATATTTGTATTATAGTTATGGCTTTCTAACATTACTAATTTGAAATTATCTGCCTACAATCAATCTAAATTAGAACTCAAAAAACATTAATAACTTTGGAAATAATACAATAAACTTATGTGAGGGTGAACAAATTTATTCAAAATTTTTAACTATATTTTAATACCTTTCCATACATATAAGATTACCAGTTAAATCCCTAAATACTTATGAAATATATTTTTGGTTGGTTTATCATATTATTTAAGAATATTAAAATAATTAGACATAGTTAGATCTAAATCATACCCGAAAATCTTTTACAGTCTGCCAAAGATTCCTTTTCATTTACTATTTTATGGTGTTGGTAGATACATGATTTAACAAATTGTGGTGGTGGTTAAATAAAATTGACATAATGAGCATGCAATAACATCATTAAAACAAAACAGCATGCAATTATTAATAATATATTAATAAAAACAAAAAATCGCAACATGCATTCATCATATCTCCTTGGTCTGTTGCTTGCAAATGAAGAAGCAATGTTTATCGTCAGAAGCTTATGCAGAGCATTAGCATTAAGTAAATTAATATTAAATGTTTTTTGGTCACAATGTGTCTACAAAGTTTTGTTTTTTAGGCTCAATGCTTGATCTTATTGGAGGAGGATCTCAGCAAAGTGCATCGCGGTCAGGTACGCCGGCCGTGGGCGCGCATAGGAAGAGCCCTACAGCAGACCAGGGCACGCAGGTGTGTTCATTACAACTAACTTCCATTTAATATAACCATTATGCCTACTAAAATCGTAAAAATCATGGTACATTGTTATTAACAGTAGATAGTTCGTAATATTAGACTTAAAGTAAATAATACATGTTTTTCTGGATGCGGCCTTGCCATAGACTACAACAGCAGATTCTGGAGGGATATTCTCGCAAACATTACAAGCGGCAAGTGAATTGAATGTTGCTTACACCTATTTATTTATATCCCAGTTAGAATAGTCATCTTCCATTTCTAATATTATTTTAGTGGAACGATGAGCTGGAGAATCTGTTTAATTTTAATGTTATTTTGACCTGCATTTAAATATTAGTTGTGTATTCATGCATTGGTTTAAATGTTAATTATTTTAATTAATATATTAAGGCAAGTGGCGTTCCTGAATAACCTAGATTTGTTATTTCATTTGTTCTTTTTATAAATAACTGCAACAAGAAAAGACATAATATTGTTATAGGTATATAGAAAATTAATGAAAACAAGCTAAATAATTCCTTAGTAAACATATTGCTTACTGCTCACTCATAACAGATTACATTCCTCATTACTTTTATTAGATAACAGTAGAACTCATCATCATATTCGTGGCTACATCACTTTTTGTTGACCATTCTATGTGTAAAATTGGTTAATTTTCAATATACTGATGATATATTTCCATTCATAAAAGCTATGAATTTAAATGAGATGGTTGTATAGGTCGGCTCTGTGGCTAGTGGATCTAGCCAGCAGCGGGACAGCCGACGCGGCAGCAATGGGCAGGCGCAGAAGGGGCCGGGAAATCGCAACCGCACGAACTCGCGCAACCGACAGCGCTACCCCAGCGGCGGCGCCCCATCCACGCACCAGCCGCAGCACCAGGGCCAGCAGCACTCGCAGCAACACGTGCAGCACACTCAACACAATCAGCCCTCCGCCAACCAGCAGGCGCATCACCATCACCAAGCTGGTAAGACCTTTTGGTCACGAGTCGCGAAATACTTTAGGTATACCAGACTACTGGTAAATGAGATCAACGTACTGGCCTACAAAAATAGCGAGGCACTTTCTCTTTGCTCTTACTGTAGAAAAAAATAATACTCTTTACGAAATAGCCTAAAATATTTTCTTGTTTGTATTTTTGTTTATATTAACAGTCCAATATCATATTATATAACCAGGTAACTTCTCTGGAGCCGGTCAGGGCTACAACCGTGGCGGTTGGAGAGGCCGACCCCGTGGCCGCGGCCGCGGTTTCGTACCACGCAACAAGAATACGCTGAAGTTCGACAAGGACTATGACTTCGAACAAGCTAACACTGAGTTTGAAGAGTTACGTAGCCAACTTGCCAAGACTAAGATTTCTGATGGCGAAGCAAAAGTTGAGGTAAGATATGCTATTATAATTTAGAAAATCCGTTACATCAGTTATTTATTAAATTACCATACCATACTTTCGTTACAATGATAGGACCTCTAAAGACACTGGGATTGTATATACTACATTTTATTAAGATTACAAATAAAGCAAAGACAGATTTTATTGGCTAAGGTAGAAAAACTACCAGTTCAATCTTTCATTTACGTTAATTCTATACCGTCATATCAGGTGTTCCCATACATAATCGCAAAACACGCGTCTCTGTAATTATGTCATAGTGTATGTTACATACGAGTTAGGACCATTCATTGATGTAAGCTTTAATTACACAATCATTCATAGACGCCCAATAAGTCCCTTGGTATATTTTTAATTTCTTTTATTAAATATGCACTCAAAATTATGATTACATACTATGAAAACTCGATTCTGTAGCTAGAGCCCACGAAAATTCCAATAATACTTGGTATTTCTAAACTATAATTCACAATTTGCATTAATCCACACACTAATATTATAAATGCGAAAGTAACTCTGTCAGTATTCTTCACGCCTAAACTACTGGACCGATTTCTGTGAAATTTGGTACCGTAATAGTTTGGAACTCGACAAGGGACATAAGATAGTTTTATACCATAAATCTGCAGGAAGTCACTGTTCCACGCGAACGCAGTCACGGGCAAAAGCTAGTATCTTATAAATGCCCAAATACACAAAGATACAGTATGAATCAGTTCATTTCCTCCTTTTTTAATTTACCTATCTTCCGAGAGCGTTCGCGTCACGCTCTGTCAACCGTACTTCACTTTTTGTCAACGTAATGAGTTAACAATATTGCGAATTGGTCCGTAATAAGATTGACAGCAAGTAAATGTTGAATAAAACTTAAAAATTCCCAAGTATTATTTAAAGGACCAAATGTGTGATGTTATTTCTCAGTTGATATTCTGATTATAAAAGTTGTGGTCATCAAAACATAAGAAACAAGTTAAATTTAATGGAACATTCAAAGGTTGCTGTATGTTTTGACTCCCAGCTCAAAAGTACATTTTGCATGCATGATTTTGTTGTCTTGTTGTTTCATAAGTTTTTTTTTTCTGTTTTGTATGTATTTATCAAAATTTTTAATATTTTTTTTTTATATTTCGGACATCGCAGGAGTCTGAAGTAATTATTATAACGCAGGGTGAGGTTGACAAGAAGGATGACTCTGGAAATGAGACTGGTGCGGGTGAACCCGAAGTTGATGAAGACCAGAATGGTTACACAGGGTATGACAAGAACAAGAGCTTCTTTGATAACATCTCCTGTGAGGCTGTTGAGAGGTAAGTCCTTTGTGGATAAATAGTTAGATACATGGATAGTTCATTTTTGTATTCAATGTGTATTCAAATAATTAAAAAGTCGCAGTTTTCAATAAAGAAAAAGACCAATTTCAAATTATTATTTTTAAATATATTTTTCAATGGGTATTGTTAAATCAAAGCTTTTATCATTACTAGGTCTAAGGGCAGGAGCCAGCGAACGGACTGGCGGACGGAGCGCAAGTTAAATTCTGAGACTTTCGGCGTGGCCTCTGCGCGCAGGGGAGCGTGGCGTGGCCGTGGGGGCTGGCGCCATCACAACCCCCAGCATCAACAGTACGCGTAAGTTACCTCTCAACTCATATATTTTGTTTAATTTTCATTTTATTGCTAATAATGAATGGGAAGACAAGTTGATATTTGCTTTCAACCAAATTATGCAAATATCCAACTTTTCGTAGCTGTCTCCTTACCGTCCAATGACTGCACGGTTGGCTCAGTGGCTGGGCAACTGGCTGCTGTGTAACGTGTCGCGGGTTCGATTCCTGCACGGAATAACAATTTGTTTGATCCACAAATTGTGGTTTCGGGTCTGGGTGGCTTGTCAGATCCACGACACAGAAGAAAATCCTACTACCTATCAGACTGTTTTATTTAAAAAAAAAGATTAATTTGTTGTGAAACCATGAGATTGAAGACAGATTTACATTTCTCTCAGATTTATTGGTCTTTATTCCCCAAGTCCCAGCTGTAGTAGGCTTTCTTTAAGTTGGATTAGAATAAAAAAAACCTGCAATTTCGTGTCCCGTTTGTGTCAGTGTGAGCTTGACTCTTATCCCTAATTTAAAATTCCTCATTGTATTATCTCACTGTAGAATAAACTAACATGTTCTCGTGTGGTTCAGGAGTTGACCGCGAGTGTAGCATTTTTTAACCCCCGACGCGAAAAGAGGGGTGTTATAAGTTTGACGTGTCTGTCTGGCATCATAGCTCCTGAACGATAGAGCCGATCTCAATTTAGGTTTTTTTTTATAACAGGTTTTTTACGGGCGAGTGTTTTTAGACATGTTTGATGAAAATCGATTGAGCCCAATAAAAGTTATTTATGGGGGGTTAAAAAGGGGAAGAAAAACCGAATGTCTGCAAATATGCTTAAGTGGGGTATCAAATGAAAGGTTATGACTTGCACATCACAAAATACATAAACTTTAATAAGTTTGACGTGTCTGTCTGTGTGTCTGTGGCATCATAGCTCCTGTAGTTTATGTTTTTGAGTCGCGGGTTTTTTTTAATTTATATGTATCTTGTTGGATTTAAAAGCACTGTAGACAAACAAGTTTCAATAATAATAGTATTGTATTTACCATGCCGCCTTTTGTTTTTCCACAGTAACTACGTACACAGTTTCTCAGACGACGGTAGATGGCGCGCGATGCGCGGTGGTCCCCGTGGCGGCCCTCGCGGAGGCGGACGAGGCCCCCGGCCCGCGCCCGCACCCGTAGCGCAGGCCTCCACCACGCAACCGCAGCCGGCACCCACTGCGGGTATGTTGTTGTACTGTAAATGTATTGTTTGATCCTAGCCGTTTCTGACGTAAACATTAATATTATTATGTTCCAAAAATGTGTCTAATAAGTAAATTTCTGTTTGTCCACAGCTAAGTAGGGTTTATTGAAGAGCGTCCGCTACACCGAAAGAATTTTTTATCGCAGCAGGGACTATTCAAAAATGGATAAGTGACGGAAAAGTGTTAGTTTGGTGATAAAGTGTCTTGATTTGAAAAGTAATGTCTTGCGGGAAGTTAAAATGTTGTGGAGATTCAAGTTGATGGACATTGTTTTGGTGTGATAGTGTTGTATCCAATATAATGGAAGGATAAAGATGGAATTTCCCGTAACCGCGTGACAGAACAAAATGTCGGTACACTGAGAAGGCTCACAGTTAGTTTAATGTAAGTATAGGAGTGTCGTGAGCGATAACGCAATTAGGCAAGATGTTGGCATCAACTAAATTGAATTGTATAATGTCACAAGTCGACCAATAGCTGGATGATATTAGGCTCTTTATGTAATTCAAACGATGCCAATGTCGTTGGTGAGTGAGATAGAGGCCACTTGTAAATTTCAGGGAGGCTGTGCAATGAAAGATTGCATATGACATATATTTATGCAATGAATTATAAATATTTTCATAAAGCTTACCTCCTCACCTGTATGATTATTTGTGCCTATTTAGTTGTAAACCATATATTTAAAGTACTAAAACAGTCTGCTATCACTCGAATGGTCATTGCGCCTCAACTTTATTTATTAACTCGCGATGACATGCGACAGTCTACGCAGCAGTCCTACTAAAATGTTAGTAAATTTAAATGAGGATAAATTAGTTTAATACCTGCTGGCCAGATGTTTGATGTGTAATTATATAAATCATTGTGGGTTAGAGGCTGCCTCGGCAAGTTATTAAATGTAAAGTGTTTATTGACTGTCGTTCATTTGTAGTTAGTACTAAATAAATGTGATAGATGGACTGCTGCCACATTGTATGTAGATGACGTGTTGGTGGCTGGCCTGTCCGGGGCGGCTTGCTCCTCTACTCAACCTGCATCAACACGTGAAATAGTAAAGTCTATGTTTATTCAAATTAATAAAATTTTTGTGAAACTTTGTTCTCGAAAAGGACTATCTTATTTTCTTGTACTTTATTTGGAATCATCAATTTTAACCAATGTGTGTTCATATTGGCAGGTCCTTTTCATGCATAAAATCCTAAATAAACTTTGACAAAAATATTTGTAAAAATCTGTAACTCAAAAGCTGTACCTGGTGATTGTATCAATATAAAAATATAACTTTACTACAAATCTTCCAATGGGTGATTTCATTTAAAACAACCAAGTTTAATTTCCAATTTTATTGTAAATAAGCAAAATAGCGTAGCTTTTGACGTCATCAAATAAATCAACAAATATGTCATACAAAATGTTAAAAAACATCAAAACAATCTTACGATCTTTGGAGGACACATACATTCGACTTGCCAGCAGTGGTCGGTTTTCGTGGCGCGTCTAATGTCAACCCACTACTGCAGGCAGGTCGTCCACATAAAAACAAAATGTTTGACATCCGTAACTTACATTTCCAAGCAGTTAAATTACAAAGTATGCACATCCTAAAATACACACTTGTTTGTATACAATATAAGTATTCATTACAATTGATTAAAGTACACAATATATATCACGACATACGACATTTTATATTACATATTATTTTGGTTTTAAAAGTATATCTTAAAAAATATAATGCCCTACGTAGGTAGGCTTTACCGACTAGGTGAACGAAATATTTACACAACCACGACCATTCCTCTACTACGCGTTATGTAAGGTCAATTATACATACATGAAGTAAAAGGGATTTATCCATAAGTATATTAGAAGCGTTTCCTATCCTATCGTATTCTTTGAGCTTATAGTATATATGCCCCAATTTTTAAATGACTTAGATTTTAACATAAGAAAATACTAGGCTCATTCAGTATGATTGCGGATGTGGCCTTAGTTGTTTGTTTCCATTGTGATCGAAATATTGGGACTTGGGAGGGTATAAAAGAGGTAAAAAATGTTTTCTAGATAAGCGAGGGTCACGTCTGACTTCATAGCCATTCCTTAGTTCTCATTTCCATGTCCTACTTGAAACAGTTTCTTTATCATCAATCAATCCATCGGCTACCTAAATCGTCTCGACCCACAATGGAAAATGCGCTTATACGCATAATCGATAAAATAAAGGGTTTTCGAAGATGGACTTAACCGCGCCACTCCCGTGCCGGTGTACCATTGTCCACGATCCATACGGAGCCACTCTGACCCTTTGCCAGGATCTCTACTAACGCACGGCCCACGTGTTCAGAGCTGAAAAAATATGTAGAGATTATTTTCAAGATCTTTAGCCTACAGTACCTACCAATGTTTCTGTAACGTAATAAGTGCCGTGAGACCGTAGGTTAATAAACAGCTTAGGTACGTGAATCATTAGCGGCGCCAGCCGTTTACTCTGATCATGAATACAGAGTTCCTGTATGGCTTGAAATTATAGAGTTGGTCTTCGAATGGTTCACGTGAGCTGTAATACGGCTGTCGCGCCGGTACTCCCTAACCCTTTCTTCCGTTTCTTTGTTCAAAAGTGTTCTCGCTCTCACCTCTGAATTTTGCAGCTAGCGTTATCCCTTTGCCAAGCTGCCTCGTACTCAGAGGACATGAGCTGTTTACGGATCTCCTTAACGAGACCAGTATCAGTTAGGCCTGGGCAAATCACCATACTCCGCACGCCAGTCAGATTCACGTGGTACTGATCCTAAGGGAAACAAATCAATTACAGAATTTGCAGTGTAATGACAGCAAATTAAGAATAAAAGAATATATTAGTCAGGTCTATCTATTCTATAGAATCCTACATAGGTATATACGTCTCAGTTTTTATAAATTATGAGTTAGGTATCTAAATAAAAATAAATATTGTTAAGGATGAATCATAGCATAACAGTAACTGAAAGTGACCGTCACACCTGTGGTACCTACAGATTCAATTCTATACAGGCACCGTAATTTTATTTACTTAGATTAATTAAAATGTAAGATATTTATGTACAAACGTAAATAAATAAATTTGATTGATTTGATGTGATAAGGAAAGCGTAGAAGAATCCGAATTGAAAAAAACGATACAATTTTCTTTGCCGTATTTAGCTGGTAGTGTCGTTTTAGAGGAAGCTTGGCGGACCTACCTACATAAAATGTACGAATGTTTGACTTGTCTACTAAGGGCACCTGAATTAAAAGCTATACAACCGTGAATGAAGGCTCTAGTAATCACCGTGTGAGCGAAGTTACTGGAGGCGCCTTTAATCCAGCCTTCCCCAATGCCGGAAAGGTACTTATAACTCCGGTGTTGAAAGTGTCCGTCGGAGTGTAGATTGCTTAAGATCAGGAGCTCCTGCTCATGAATCGACCTATCTCATTAGGAAAAGTAAACTTACCCCATAAGCCCTGGTTAATCCCACGATAGCGTAGTTAGTGGCAGTATAAATAGGCGTGGAAACCTGAGGCCTGGTAAATGCAGTGGACGCTGTGTTCACAATGGTGCCACCCTGGCCGCCGCGATCCTTACTCATAAAGCGATATGCTAGCAGAGTTCCGCGTATTACTCCATTCTGTGAGAAAGAAGATGAAATGATAAACTTAGGTTTAGGTACTTTTTTACACGAAAACTACAGATTTAAACCTAGCCTCAAATTAGGGCTTTCTCATGTGTCAGGGCCATGGCTCCGTTTACAATCATACCATACTTTACAAAAACACCTTGTTTATCAGCAGACCCAGAACATCAATTTGTGGATCACAAAAGTGTTATAAGTACAGGTACCCCTTGCGGGAATCGAACCCGTCACAGATTGCGTTGCAGCGCCGCCGGCCATTGGCTGTCCCTGCCAAGGGTAGTAGGTAAAATTCCCTGTCTGTGCCCTTTCAAAAGACAGGTTTAATAACATTATTTCATCTTAAAATTATGAAAGCAGTTACCTACCAAATTGAACTCGCGATATGGTATGGTAGGTAAGGACGTAGGTAATTAACAATTTTCAAACATTCACTTCAGGGTAATAAAAGCTATAGATAACAAAAACAACTAGAGTACCTATACAGGAAGAGAAAGGAATAGAGAAACGACTTCCGATGAAAACAAAATATAGCCGAACGTCTATAAATAGACAAAACTTACTAAATTAACGTCAACCTCCAATTCCCAGAATCGGTCGTTCATTACACCCGCGTTGTTGATCACTATGTCCAAGCGATTAAACACTTCCATTGTCATCTCGAACGCCTCTGTAATAATATAATTGAAAACTATTTATAATATTTACCGATGACATAATATACACAGAAATATACTACTTTGTAGTTATACTTATAAGTATCTAGGTATTTAGGAACTTAAGATTCTAAGCTCACATTAGTAAGTAGCTACTTACTGAGATGCATTGATAAATATTACAGTTACTTTATATGTATAGATACCTGAAACTAAACGCGAAGTTTGTAGGCAGGTATTCAGTAGATACTTAATTATTACAGTTTCTGCATCGGCTTTAAAATTAGTAGGGACCATATAATTAGAAACAACTTGACATTGTTATTGAACTTATTGGGGACTCGTTTCCTCCAGTGATCAACTTTGGAGTTCGGAGTGACTCCATAATGCGTTCAGAAATACATTGGCGTTAGTTTAGTTTCCCCCTTTTCGGAATTATCTCTAAAAATAACTTCTTACGGCTCCCGTTAACATTACTTCGAAAAGTGAAGGGTTAATATTTATATTTGCACGCGATGCTTTAAACTTACCCTCGTATTGGGGATAGTCGGTGACGTCACAGCGACAGAATAGTACATTCTTCCGTCCATACTTGGAGCCTAGATCGTCGACCACTTGCTCGCCGATTTCCGAGTCGATATCACAAATCGCAACCTGTAAAGTGCCATCAGGATGTAGTGACGACCCGACATTACTCGTATTATAGCTTAATCCTTACATATAGCTATGTTCTATAGGTAAGGTAAATAACGTTATTTGTATAAAATTTAGTTGCCTATTATGTACCTACAACTCCATGCTATAAGTCCCTATGTGTTTTTCCTTACTTAGTTGTACCTACTTCGTAGCTAACAAATACAAATATTATTTTTATATTTTGTTTTATCATTCATTTCCAAAATATAGGTATAGGTACTTGCATGGAACACGGAAGAAGTACAAAATTATCTAGTAGGTACATAACTAGAAACCTCGTTTAAATTTAAAAGGGAATAATTGAACGAACGATCGTAGTGCAGTGGTGTAGTCCTATATAATATTCATCTGCAGTTCCCCTATACGACACATTTTCATAATAAAATTGAATGCACAATATAATAATCAATTAAGTTTTTAAAACATTATCGTTAATAACACTAAATGAATATATCAATATCTATTTATGTGCACGCGGCATCTACAGAAGTACAAAGAAACTTAAAAGGAAAACAATCACACCAATGACCGGGGCGCCGGCAAAAATCAATACAAGTGAGCGCCGGCTATCCGCTGATCCACCTTACTATCAATTAGAACATTTGTCCCACACTCAAGCACGACACTTATGTAGTATTGGCGAATATCCAGTACACTCCATTCAACAGTTATTTACCTTGAACTTAATATTTCTTTAGGAACTACGCCATGCGCAGAGGATGTCTTGGAGAGTGTTTCCTGAGTTCAACATACCTTGGCTCCTTGTTTAAGCAGTTCTTGACTGTAGGCGAGGCCGATGCCAGCCGCGGCGCCGGTGATGAGGGCTACCTTCCCCTTCAGCTCCATGTCTAATTATTTGCTACTCGAATACTGCGCCGCGCCCCGAAGCGACCGCGTTCACTACCGCCTTCGTTGTGGTTCGATCGCGACGGAAACTCCGCACAGCGGGAGGGGGGGTCTCTCCCGTTTTCTCCCTAGTTCCCCCCTCCGGTAGTAAATATACGCACGATTGCACTACACTCTCGCCTGCCCGTTGATTCAGGCTTGTTATAGGGATGTATTGCTGCCGGCTACTCGCATGTGTTTCTGCGTGATCGTATGGGCGGGTAATGTAAGAACGAGTGTTATGAAATACAGCAGTGCCGGTAAATTCGTAAAGACGAATGAAACCATTAGCCTAATACAAAATATGCTTGGACATGATCTGTACCTACCTATATAAAATAATGCGAATACCACCACGATGTTCGATACATAAAATAGATCACAAAACTCGTATCACTCGTAACTCATGGGTATTATAATATGACGTATCTATCGGTCATAGCTGCCATCCATATGGGTTCAACAACTTGAAAATGTAGCTGCTAAAAATCTTAATAATCGTTGGCTATAGTCAAGGTAATAATATCTATGATATTTATACTGTGCTATAGTTGTTTTGAATGAACCAGCAGCTGCATCTTCAATTCGTAATAAATTATAGTTCCCGAATAAAGCATTTTTTTGTGATACGAGCAGTCTGATAACCTGTGATTGTAAAGACGACAATCGTCGAAACAGAGTATTTAGAGTGCATTGCTGGCCTTTTGAGGATTAGGGTTTCAAAGTTTTCAAGCCGACCCGATAGGTACGGGCCGAAGCTTGTCTCTCCCAGACTTGTAACTTAGGTACCTACTTACATCATACGTAGATATTTTTTTGGAAAATAAAACGAGGATTAGTCATAGATTTTTCTTTATTTGTCAATTTCTCTATCTTTCAATCAGGTACAGTAAATTTTTCAGTAAATAAAAAAATATCAATTTTTCATTTTTTTGAATTTTCTCAAGTACTAAGTGAAAAATATCACAGATACAACAATATCGCGAAGGTTCTGCCCACCGCAATATCGTACACACATCCAAAACGCGACCACTCTGATTTCCCACGGACGCGAACTGTACACAAATATACGAAAATAAAATTTTTCACAAACTACACTATAAAAAACTTGAAATTTGCAACAAATCCCTCGCTTTAAAACAATATCTAAAACACCCATGTTATTTCAGGGACCCGTATTCCCTTCGTTAACGTAAGGCAAACAATTTGCCTACGTTTACTTAAAACAATAAAATACAAAATATGCTTGGACATGATCTGTACAATAAAATAAGCCAATACCACCATGATTTTCGATACATAAAATAGATCACAAAACTCTATGTACAATGATAATATCACAGAGGTAAATACGCATCAGTCACAATAGTCACGCAATGGCCGCATATTGGTTTAAAATCGACCAATTGGAGAACTTGAAAATGTATCTGGAAATATCTTGATAATCGTTGGCGTTGTAGTTGTTTTGGACGAAGCGAAGGACTGATGGAAAGCAGCTGCATCTTGAGTGGAGTGTATTTGTGTAGTTGGTTTTAGGGATGGTCAGGAGTGGTGTGCCTGGTCTGCGCCGGCGGCAGGCACGGCTTTGGCGAGGTATGAGAAAGACCGCGCGTTGGGCAGGCCCGCTAAAACACAGGCACTCAACGCTGATCGGTTCAAGTTCATGGGTGCAGCGTCGTACCACTCCATCGTGTCACCATCATAGCACTCCACGTGGGGTATCGTAGTTGACCCTGTGAAATAAAGACCCATATTTAAGGGTTGCCCAAAGTCACAGTAGAATAATACTGTTATCAATCAGTTTTACCATTAAATCCTCCAATAACGAAGATCATGTCGTCAAGTAACACTGTAGCAAAGTTACTGCGAGCGCTGAACATCTCCGTCACCTCCTGCCAGTCCCCGCCGCGCTGTGGGTTGAACCTTTCGCCTACGAAGTAAAGTAAGATCACGAAAGGTGTGATAAGGATTTTAATATAGTGGTAAGGCACACCCTATCAAAACCGGACTACTCAAACAAATCATTTACGGACGTCAGATATATTATTATCTAACTAGCTACTCTCACGTAGTTTCACAACCTGCTCGGCTCTGTGATGTTTTATAGCTAGACTTCCTCAATTATTGGACTAGCAAACTCAAAAATAATTGTTTAGGTCGAACTATTAGCTTCAGGCATTAAAGCGCTTAAAACAAAATAATTCGACAGCTTAATAATATCAATTTTTAAAGAGCCTACAGTGTATGTGTTGAGTAGATACTTTAAAGTTTTTACATGTGATTACCTGTGTTCAACCGGCTGTATCCGTTAAATCCCCCGAGTGCGTACAGGCAGTCTCTATAGGCGATAAGGCTGACTCCAGATCTGGGACTGAGCATCGATCTGATGAAGCTCCATTGTTTTGTATCTGGATCAAACACCTCGGCAGAACTTAGAACTTCTTGGCCGTTAAATCCACCCACGATGTATATCTGAACAAACTCGTCAGCTTGAAATTAATTTAAATTATTCATATTCTTTCCTTTCACGGGATCACAGGATCCCGGACTTTTGGAAGGCGTACGAGGGGCCGAAGCCAACTCGCAGAGGCCCGTATCATTATTAACTATCAGCTTATCACGTCTGAGGGACGTGGCTTATGAGGGGTTTGGGGATGGCTGTTAGTTTACCTTTATTTTTAATGTAATAAGTCGGCAAACGAGCAGACGGATTACCTGATGGTAAGCAATCAACGCCGCCCATGGACACCCGCAACGGAGGAGTTACGAGTGCGTTGCCGACCTTTTAGGGATTTGGAGATTTAGGGATTGGGGAAGGGTCCGGGAAGGGGAAGGATTGGGCCTCCGGTAACCTCACTCACACGGCGAAACACAACGCTGTGGTTGTTTCACGCCGGTTTTCTGTGAGGCCGTGGTATCACTCCGGTCGAGCCGACCAATTCATGCTGAAGCATGGCTCTCCCACACTTAAACCTAAAGTTTAGATGACGTTGATGCCCGTCCTTCTGTTGCTGGTTGCAGTTTTTGGACATAGGTTTTTGGATACACACCCGAAAAGAATAAATACCTAGGCCTACAACAAGTACAAGCTTCTAGCTTTTCTCTGTTGAGTGGTATCACATTTCATGTAATGGTATTCTCCGATAGACACGGACTTCTGTCTAATCCAATATTTAGCCGTAAGAAAGGAAAAATACCACTGGCATTGTCTGACTCTAAAAGGTGACGATGTGCAAAATACGGATAGTAAAATTCAAATCTATGCGAAAACCTACAAAACTAAGGGACATTCTTCGAATCAATACACAAATATACTACTCACCTTTCCACCAAGAGACGCGGCACTGGCGTCTGAGCGTTGTTTGTTCATCGGTGTAGTCATTTCCCATTGATTCTTGTCAGGGTAGTAGCGCTCCACTGACGACATACGCGTTCGACCGTTGTAACCGCCCAAGGCGTAGATTAGTCCATCTTTAAAATTACCATGTAATAAATAAAACGGAAGAGAGACGAAAAAATAAGAAGGAAGAGTCTGGAATTGTGCACTGTGTACGGCAATAGCCATTTTTACATGGAATTCGGCAGATATAATATGGCATATACATAGGTGGTTGGCAGTCAATAACTGTGCTATCTTCGCGAAACTTTCTGCCTTGCACTGCAAAACTTTGGAATGATATTTCGCCAGTGGTATTTCCGAATCGATACGACCTTCGCAACTAAGAACATGCGTTCTCCTTTTTTAAAGATTGAGAACGCGCCTGTGATCTGTATTGCAGGTTTCCATGTGGGGTGCTGATCGTTTACTAACAGGTGATCTTTCAACTCGTTTGCCTCCTATTACATAAAAAAACTCACGAAAGTGGAAGTACATTGTAAAATGGAAGTACGTTGTAATTAAAGTTCTAACTCACCATGAGCCACCACACTAACGTAGCACCGCGCCTGATACATGCAGGCTCTTTCGTGCCAAGTATTTGCCACGGGGTCGTAGCACCGAACTGTGTTGAAATGATCACTCCCATCGAAACCACCAATCATGTAAATTAAGTTGTTCAACGTGCAAAGGCCATGGTACGCTCGAGGTGTCAGGTCCATATGAATAGACAGAAACCATCGGTCCGCCCTGATTCAGTAAAGTTAAAAATTAATAAAAAAAACTGGTCATACTTTTTAAAATTAGCGCGGTATATCCACCATAGACAATCTACACAATATAAGAGTGTTTGGTTAGAGGTCTTCAGCTCTTTAATTTTATCGATATAAGTGCAATATGATTATTGAACGTAGTTAGTAGAATCAAATATAAGCAGAATATACCTTGTATCGTATGTTTCAACAAAACTAGTAGGACTACCAGCGCTCCAACCACCAACTGCAAAAAGTATCTCAAAAGGTATTCGGGGCCTTGCCAAAGGATCATTTAGATCTGCTTCTGTCCCTGGCCTTGAATCCAATAATGTTAGGAATACTACAGCTGGATACAAAGCTTCTTGGCATTTCTGTAAATAAATATAAAAATAATGTCCATCAAGAATAAACCTCTGCTGTAGTCAAAGATTTCTATTTTTACCTCGTCTTCAGCAACCGGCTGCCACTGCAATATTTTCGATTTAAAATATTTATAGCTGATGTGACCGAACCGTATACACAATAGTAACGTTGGAATACATTTTCTTCTGTTTTCCAAATCGTGTTCCACCCATGTTTTAACTGCTTGGAATACTATTTCTTCGTTTCGGACATTTAGTTCATCGTCTCTCAAAATATCTTCTAATTCATCATATGAAAGTGATTTAAATTCAATACATTCCTTAAGTATTCTGCTAAAATTCTGTCTTATATACAACTTTCCTTTTTTTTCTAGCTCACTACAGAAATAATATCTTGCGAATTTAAATATTCCAAGACAGTTATGCGGCCTCAGCTCGTGCAGAAGGAACTGACAGCATAGCTGTATAACACCAACAACATCAAATTGATCCGCATACGGTAATAGATATTCCACATTTTCTGCAGTCACTGTGCAAGTTCCTGTGTAGGCATAATCGAGGATTAAGGTCATGTAATAGCTAGGGACATCGACAAAAATTTCCGTTTCTTCAGGCTCTCCTTTCTTTAACGAATTGATAAATATAGCTTTGAAGTATGGACTAACGGCAGATAGTATCGCCCGGTGCACTCGAATTGATTTCATGTCCCTGCACACGATAGTGCCATCGCACAGCTGACCGTTCTGTCTTAGTTCATTCCATATCGTGGGAAACTCTACAACTGAGTAATTTTCAGGGGGGCAAACGCATTTTCGTTTTCGCGTAACTATCTTTTTTTTGGTCAATCTGGGTTTCGAGGATGAAGGAGTACGAACAGAATTTTTATTTTTTGATAATTTTCGATGTTTCGAATTAAATTCCATTCCTTTCGAAAAAACGGCGGTCGAAACTTGTTATCTGTCGCGATGACAGACTTGGCGACAGTTGAGATTCATTTGTTCAAATTCCCTATGGCACAACAATTCAAATTATAAAGGATCTTCTACGCGATTCTATTCCTGCCTGATTTATTTTTTGTATGAAAAAATACTCTATATTTTAAGTCTATAATCTGTGCTGTATATTGGAAAGTCTTTATTGACCACTACCGCTGTGATTTGCGCGCTTGTCATGTGCAACGTCTCGAGAGCCCGAGACCTCTTCCTGGGAAGTCGCCCTTGGAATCACTCGACCACCAACAGTGGGTACGTGTTATCTCCCAGAGAAGAACTATTCGTCCATGACTACTAATAAACTTCAATTGCTAGGAATATACGGTTCATCTAAATACATAGACAATCTAATGATTATCTCAAGATAATGATATCATCATAAAATAAATCCTATTTCTACTGTTCTATTTTTTAATTTAGGTATTTATTAAAAACAACAACAACTTAGTTAAGGGTCTACTAGTTTTAAGTCACAACTACAATTTTATTCAGGAGCCGCATGTAGCAACTACTTAGGGAAAATAATTGAGAAAAGCTCTAAACTAGTTTTAAGTCACAACGGATATTTTATTCATGAGCAGCGCGCATTGTATGTTGTATTAAAATTCTTTGGTTTTGATTGAAACGTCTTGGCTTGGGCGTCAATTGTTTAATTAAATGAAGTCAAATGAGTGTATGCATATGCTATCCTTTTTAATTCCTCCGTGTTTTTAATTCGTAGTATTAACAAGACTATTAGAAGTTAACTTTGGACAATTCTCCACTTGTCCCTACTTTTACGTCAAACTTTAAGTTTTAAAATAAAAATATGTATTAAAATATGATATGAGACTTGATATTTAAATCATTTTTTAGACAACTCAACATTTGCGACATTGCATTAGGTACAAAATCTTGATGCAAAATCACATCATCTACTTATTTAGTCTATGGCAAAACTCTATACTTGTCAGACTACAAAAGACTTTCATAACCAGTATTTTTTAGTACTGGCAGTAATTTTTCCAGCTGTCAACAGTCTGCTTTGTCTATAGTCTCTTTTTCTTCCGGTTGTCAAGATGGTGAGTTTTGGTTACTGTGAAAATAAAATAAATCTTTGGAAATCGTGGTGAAAACAAAGTGTTTTGTGAGTTCATGGTGATTTTTACTTAAAGCAGTGTTATCAATATGTGTTCCTTTACATATTTCAGGGTATCGACATCAACCATAAACATGACAGGAAAGTTAGGCGCACCGAAGTCAAGTCTCAGGATGTGTACCTGAGATTACTTGTAAAAGTAAGTGTATCTTTATTGTTTTATATCATATTGCTCTTAATTATGGTCTTCCATTTCATTAACATTACTTGTGCAAGTTCCAGTTTCTAACCTAAACTTGTTATTGTTTCCAGCTATACAGGTACTTGGCTCGTCGTACGAACTCTAAGTTCAACACGATCATTCTTCGTAGGCTGTTCATGAGCCGCATCAACCGACCTCCACTATCGTTGTCTCGGCTGGCTCGTCACATGAAGAAGCCTACTCGCGAGGGCATGATTGCCGTCGTGGTTGGCACCATCACCAACGATGTAAGGCTCTACAAAGTGCCTAAGATGTCAGTTGCTGCTCTGCACGTCACCGAGAAGGCCCGTGCCCGCATCTTGGCTGCTGGAGGTACTGTATTCTATTGTTATTATTATTTTAATTGAGGTTAGAAAGCATGCATGTAAATACTCTAATGACTTGAAAAGCATGATGGAGTAAGCTAAGTTAACCAGTTTTCACTGTACAGCAATTTATTACTATGTGGCTACCAAGCATTAGAAAAATTTTACCCTATTTTCTCATCACTTCTTTCATACCTTTCTTTCTATGAATGATGGCCCATTTGCTGGTTGTACTGAATAGTGTGGTGACTCGCATGCCCATGTCTATTGTGAGGTAAAAAATTGCAACTCTGGGCTTATTTCATGCCAAATAAAGTTTCTGTTGTTATAATTGTAGGTCTAGTGGTGTATTTGCTATTGTAAATAAGCATTGGTTACTAGGAACACAATCAAACATTGTCAGGGAAGGATATAGCCTTAATTATTCTAGATGTTTCATACTTTTTTTGGCATTCAATATGATATCTGATACTTAATATATGTACAACAGTTGTTGTATTAACCTTTCTTGTGGTAATTGGAGACACAATAAAAGAACTAAGTGCTTGAGCACCATCATTCACTTAAGAGTTTGATGAAATTAACTATGGATTTAGAATATTATTTGTGTTACCTTGCTCAGTTGTTTACTATTTTGAATGTTGTTATGGTGAAAATGTTTATTCCAACTAAACCATAAAAAGGTACTTTTGAAACATCAATATTGAAATAATCTGTCAGTCTGCTCGTCAGTGAAGCAAAGTGCTCTTTCCAAGTTGTAGATTTGAATGGAGAAGAACGAGCAAGAAACTCCATCTCCATTACTCTTTTTCATTGAAGTTTGTGCATGGAATGAAGAATTCAGTTATGTTGAATGTATTAGTTATCATTTGAAATACAAATCAATGTTATGTGATTATGTGGGAAACTATTTACTTTCCTTGTATTTTTTTTAAAGCCTGTTGGACTAAAATATATCAATTAGCCATTGGTTAAACAATTGAGTATGGCTTCAATCTTGAAGTGAAATCAAAAATAACCTAAACTGTAAATGGGTCAAAATAAATTCTGCCTACATAATAAACATTTCTTTTACAGGAGAGATCCTGACATTCGATCAGCTGGCTCTGCGCGCCCCCACTGGCGCTAAGACAGTTCTGCTGCAGGGACGCCGTAACGCCCGTGAGGCTGTTCGTCACTTCGGCCCTGCTCCTGGAGCACCTCGCTCGCACACTAAACCATACGTGCGCACCAAGGGACACGAGCGCGCACGGCCACGCCGTCGCTCTAACGTGTAATCTTTAAATATAAGGACTACAAATCTAATTCTCTGGTATTATTTCTAGATTTTAAGAACTTATCTTAAAAATATAGCTGAGAGGTACACTTTAAGCAGTCAAAATAAAACATCAAATTTGATATCACAGACTTTATTACTTCTTTTTGTAATAGTTGAATCACTAGCTTCCCCTTCAGGGTTAACAAATGAAATTTGAAAGTTTAACAGACTCTTCATTCAGCTACAAAATGAACTCATCCAATAATTTACAAGAGATTCATCATGCTGTCCTATTCCAAACACTTTTTTCAATTTGGCTACTGCATCAGATTTAGAACCTGAGGAATCTATAGCTGCCTTCACTGCTTTAGCTATTCTGTAATTATAACAAAAAATAGTATTAAATTCTTCATGCTATATGCTACCTGTGAAGACACACCAACAAAGAAATAGCATACAATTTCTTTTATAGTACACTTACCCTAGCCATTCTAACTGAAGAGATTTCAAATGCTGATGCAAAACATCATCATTGAACTTCTCATTATTCATTGAATTCTCTATTCGAGTCATCAATGTAGGACCTGGGCAAAAAATGTATATAACATGTGAGGTCTGCCATAATTTCCACAATAATTGTCAAACAGGTTGGATATTGCTCAAATATACTTACATTTAGCAGGTAATGCACTAGTCCATTTATAACTAAAATTATTGTTTTCAGTTTCTTCTAATAGGCATACCATGGGTGGTAGCTGTTCATCAATTCTGTACTGCCGTATTCTTTGGTTATTTGACATATTAATTGGCAGTAATCTGGCCAAGCCATTTACAATGGTTGCTGCTTCAACATTATTTGATTTTATAACAATCTGAAAGAAAACTCATTAGGTACTGAAGTATTTGAAGTCAGCAATAGACTTATAAATGTGAATCATTAATGTGCTGCGGGCCTGCTTCAGAGCCAAAGAAGGAATGGGGTAGTTTTCTAGTTTTGAGTCCACTAAGCTTCACACTTCCACCCTCTAGCTAGACTCTAGGGCAAGAGTTACAAATGGATTTTCCCCCCATCAAAAAAAGGCATGTACAAAAGATAACAGAATAGATTTACATGACATGGGATAGCTAAAATATATGACCTTCATAGATATACTCAAAGGTACTTACATAAATTCCAGTCAAGCTACAGTACATCAAAATTCTAAACACTGCTTTCGAGACCGTTTTTTCCAACAATCTGAGAGACATACACTCTTTGTCACTAGGCACAGAACAAGTGCCCGGCTCAAATATTGATCTCTTCACAGAATGAGGTTGTAACTTCTTGAGCAAATCTTGGCTGGTGTACAAAGTTTCTGAATATGTGTGAGCACCAGCCTTTAGCATCCATGTAAAATGAGAGTGTAGTCTTTTGAACACATTGTCATCCCCTGAAAAATGAATGTTGAATATTATTTCAGTACTGCAAATTAGTAAAATAGTTTTACAGTGCAGATGATTATGTGGACATAAGATTGCATATGCATGCTATTAATCATGATACAAAGAACACAATTGAATACCTAGGATCTAAGGGACTGAATAAAATCCCTGGATGTACAACTCTGATTCTATTGCTAGGCAAAAAACTTACACCATAATTAAAACATTTAAAATGAATAAATTCACTCACCAGTTAGGTGCATCAATGACCTGGACTGTACAAAGTCATTTCTACCAGTCTTCAACCTGAGAGCTCTTTGGGAACAAACCTTTTGTTCAGCATCAAACACCACCTCAGCCAAGGCTTGTAATTCCTTTGCTATTTTCTAAAAGTAAACAGTAATCATGATAAAATTTTATTTCAAGTAAGAACAAAACAATATAAGTTATTTTGAGAAGTAGCATGGACTCTGAAATCCATGGAAATAGGCACACTCCTATTACATGGGGTTCCTGGCAATATCTAAGTGGAACTTAATTCATGTGGATGTCTGTTCATTACATAAATATGATAAATTACATTTTAGCTTTCCAAGTAAAATATAACTTTATCTTAACCTGCATATGTTCAGAAAGTAGAGGTGTTATATTTAGGAGCAGCATTTTGTCCTTCATCAAAACTACTATTGAGAACCATCTTTTTAACCCTCGAGCCCATGTATCTTTGAGTTGGAATGTGAGGCTTAAGACATGCCCATGAGCATCGTTGAAGTAAACCACACCACCTTCCTTATTCCAATTTACCTGAAACAAAAATATATAGAATACCTGTTATAAAAGTTGAGTTTAATTTTCATACTACTACTACTGTGGTTCATAACTTAATTTTTTATGTATTTATTTGCCGTTGACTGTCAAATAAGCATCAGAACTATTTATTTATAAGGTCATTGCTATAATAATAAGTCATATTGAAACAGCTGTTTTTTGTTTCTATAATTAAAAACATTAAAAATTCTATCTACTTTTCAACAAATAATATTTTTAACACATTAATACAGTGACAACTATTTTGAACTTTATCTGAATTAGAGTTTAATTACATTGAATAACATTTTTTTAACTAATACTTTGAAAGTATTTTTTCTCAATGGGGCTAATGAACTTTCTTTAACTTTTCCATAAAGGCTTGAAGCGTTTTTACGTTTTGGAACCGAGTCGCTAATAGTGTGGGTCGTCTGAACCATGGAAGAATTGGAAATTTTATCTAATGTGTAAGTGCGTAGATCTTACTTCGCATGTGATACTTCTTATCGCAGCCTGTCTCAAAAATGAAGTTACGTCAGCATTGGGCACCGATTCCCTGCTACAGTATATCGTCCCATCGTCTTCGCGAGACACAAACACGGTCTCTGGTCCCAAAGAAGTACAACCACTGCACTGAACACTAGCTCTTGAAGATTCTGTCGTATTTTTATCATTGTCTGTAGTGAAAGTACAAAACAATGGCCGTGGTCCATGGGCCTCACAGAAATGACACAAACCCACAATGGCGTTCATTTCATTGCGGTTTAAGTATAATTATTTTGTAGATAAATTCACTTTATCAAGAACATCGTCTTCGTCTTACAATATTGACATTTGATTTTGAACTTGAATTCAGATGTCAGTTCAATGACATTGACAAATGATGTGCGTTACGTTTCTCGCTGATTATTAGTGCGCTGCGTTCTGTACCAGAGAGCATTAAAGTATAGGAAGTCTGAGTATTGTTCATGATATTGCGCCTTGCGATCTTTTCTTTGAGCTGAGAAAGTCATGAAATTAAAATGGTCCCAGCCGAGAGGGATTATTCCTTCTCCTGCTCCAGGCCGCGGCCCTTCTACGAACGACCGAGTTTAATTCTTATTATTATTTACTGAGCTTCGGGCCGGGGCCACGATACGTTATTGTGCCCGCAACCCCGGCAGGGCTTTACTGGTTCTGTGTTATTTAAGTATAAGGTTTCATTGTTTTATTTGTAGGTATATAGCAAAATCATTACTTCGTTAGTTAAACAGTCAATGCAACAAATTGGTAAGTTGGTGAGTAATGGGCAAACTAATAAATAGGTATCTTAGGAACTTTTGTGGTGCTTTTAACTATCTTCATCATAAATTCATCCTTTAATGATTTTAGAATTGGAACAGAACGCTTCTATCAGCGGTATAAATCGCTCAATTTCAAAATCTTGGGCATCCGAAGTACCACCCGAAGGCACCCGAATAAATACGCGTTACATTACCTATATTACTTAAAGTATGACGAGACAGGCCTCTTTATACTATGCCTGTATGCTAGGAAGCCAGGAAGCCTAAGCGGAAGTAAAAGTTGAATAAGGCTTAGGACAGCGCTAGGTGACCTATTTATCCGTCAAGCAATTTTTTGAAATAAGTTCCTTAACTAGAGACTCACCTTACCATCCGCAGATTGCTGTTTGGAGAAATCATGGGCACTGATTTCAAACTAGGTATCCAGTACACTGTCGGTTTCTTTAATAGATCGGTCCTGGTTTGGGAAGGAAACTTTTCAGACACACATAGTAGGCAAAAAAAAATGTCGCGAATTTCATACTAATGCTGAGTACATGATAAATAATACTTGACCTCACCAACACACACCACTTTGCGTAATGATTATCTAAGTTACACACAGTGTAGACGCGCATCCTATCAACTTGTTCGAAAAATGGTTAATTAAGACGAATTATGGCGGGTGGTGTGCGTGTTGGATGGCGGAATGAGGCCGTCAATACTCTATGGGAATGATCTTCAGGAATTACGTGACGATCTCTAGCTACATCGACAGTGAGCAAGAGATGTGGATTAATAGCATGAATGTACCGCAGTCTTAGCCTGGAGCAAAAGGATTGGGTCAGTTAGACACAGTGACTTACTGCCTGCCCTTGGCCCACCCAGTCACTCAGCAGGGTGAGGCATAATTAGCTGGTTTTTCCCTTAGAAATGCTATTTACCCAGCAATCGAACCAATAGTCAGTTGCTCAACAGGCTGACGATCAACTACACAACCAACAAAGTTGAGAGATTATTGCTTTCATTTACCTAATATGTAATTGTAAACAAATACACATCTAAATTGTTTTATTGTCTTTTTCACTTACACTGCTATTAATTTCCTGTTTATTTAAAAACACCCTGATTTCCTTACAAATTACATTTCCATATAGTGTTTCGTTAGAAGAAGGATTAAGTAAGCTATGGTACAAGGGAATGGGAAGTATTTAGGATAAATATTAATTAAAAGGCCAATAATTCTGATTTTCAATAACTCATTTATTCAACTGTACACTGATTCACAGTTATAACTTTAATGGAAAATCACAAGCACAGTTATAATCGGATTACCTAGATATAAGTAATTTGACTGTGCCACATCATCTAACATACGCGATGACGAAATGCTCTATCAATCAATATTATTATTACACAGTAGCGCACCTGCTAGGCTAGTCTCCTATCGCCACACGATGCGTACCCCTTATACGTATGGTAACGGCGGTCACAACGAAGCAACATGATTATGAAACTTGAGGAAAGAAATAAACGCGATCAAATATAAAATAAATTAATTTAATATTATAAACAAATAACATGTTACTGTGCCTATCAAAAAAATTGTCTAAAACGTTTGTTTATACTACTGTTGTTTTGGTGGCGGTTTATTTCTTAGAGACGGGTTTGTAGGCTAGCTTTCTAGACTTGAGTGTGGACCACTTGTGTCGTTTGAAGTAGTAAGTGACAACGGCGAGCATGGAGAACATGCCGATGGCCTTGATGGTCATGAGTCGCCGGTCGTCCAGCTCCGGTTCTGAGCACCATCGCAGGAACGTGGCCACGTCCTTGGCTAGCTGCGAGGCTGTCGCAGGCGTGCCGTCGCTGTACTCAGCGGCCTGAAATATTACATTTGTATGTGTCATTATACAACTATAAATAAAATGTTACATTAACTCACTAAGAACATACTTAATCACCTTCATGTCTACATATCGAAATAATCTAGTGTGCTAGATAGTTCAAACAAATGACATTTTATTTTATCTGGTACATTGTGGCTACATACCTCATCGAAAAGTACTTGGGCCATGGAAATAGCACCGCCGGGGAAGTACGGGTTGTAGTTCTGTCCTTCACGGAGCACCACGCCAGCGGGAGCGTCCATGTAGCCAGTGAGTAGAGCGAATATGTAGTCTTCTCCACCCTTACGACCCGAGCAGATCAGCGACAGATCGGGAGGATAGGCACCTGAAGAGCAGAAGGTGTTATTATAAGTTTGATCGATAGAATATTTACATTAACAATGTCCTCATTGGATGTATTTCTGTCTTAGGTTGCTAAGATGGACTCAAATCTCTCGTGTAAAACAAAACAAGATGTTACATTTAGTTTTGAAAAGGATTTCATGCTTTTGAAAGAAGTATGTTACTGTAATTTGCTTACTAATTGTCACATTTTTTTTTGTTCCAAGTTGTACTTAAGAATTTAAAAATCGAGAGGATTGTTTCAATTAAATTGCTAAAAATACTGCATATTTTGTGGCAAATGTGGAATCTGGTCTAGATTGTCTATTTACAAATTTCGTGGACGCCCACGTTTTAGTGTTCGTTTTCTGGCACAACATCCGTTGCACTTATAAATGTAAGCAGACCAACTAATGCGAGTTTGCTTATAACTTTTTTATGCTGCTGTAACTGCGGCGTCCATAAATTACGAGAGATGATTATGGGGGGCAGTGGGTCGAGTCAAATCCTACTAATCTCAAGTTGCGGAGAGGGCGACAAATATCATGCAATTTTGTTATTGATTGAAACAAAGACAAATACAAAAAAGTATTGTTATTTTTTATTATATTTATAATTCTCTGCAAAATTTATTCTAGACGTTAATATGACAATAACAATCCAACGAGTTTACACACTTTTATTTCATTTGGGGATAATGGAGGGGTTTCAACAAAGTTTCACGACATCTCACCAAGAAGGGGGAGAGAGTACTTTACAGTAACACTGCACAATTTACATATAAAAAGCCTTGTCTTGGTGAATAACAAAAAATGTTTTTGACTCAATTTAACTCGATACAATTGATGTCCATTAATAGTGGCTGAGGTTGGAAGCACAGCCACCATAGTTATCGGATACTGGCATCCTTTTTTCATAAAACTCTTTGCAGATGGTTCTGTTTTGTAACTTCATATTTTTTCCTTTCTGCATTGTTATACACAATACTATCCGCCCGCCCCTTTATCGCGCTAGTTTACTATCGTATTCTTGTTTACTATCGTATCAGTTCCACAACTATTCATGTATGACCAAACGAAATTATTATTTTACGTATAAAACTCGTATAAAAGATTTATGTGCTATTCTTACCGTTGTTAGCTGCACGGGCAGCATTCTCGTTGGGGTACGGCGACGGGAGGTAGTCAGACAACTTGCCTGGCCTCTCGTAGTAGTTACCCTCTTCATCGGGGCCGTCCTTGATCATCGCCTGCATTACACACAATTGTAACGATTACACTCAAGCTTAGAGTAATTAATTTTTTATGTTCGGCTCAACAACAGGTTATTTCAAAAATCATTGATACACTCTAAAATAGTGATATTATCAGATGTTAGCATATAAATTATTCTGATAAGTACTTATGAGTCATGAATGAACTTCGTTTTGTTAACTTATTCCATTTAAATTTCGTCACAGTTTAATTTTACATTTACAGATTATTTCATACTAGCTTTTGCCTGCGACCCCGTTCGCGTGGATTAGTGTAATTTTTTGGTATAAAAATTATCCTGTCTTTTTTCGATTTCAAATCTAAGTCTGTACCAAATTTCACAGAAATCGGTGCAGTAGTTCAGGTGTGAAGAAAAGACAGACAGACGCACAGAGTTATTTTCGCATTTATAATACATTACATTTATGTATAAATCACGTAATCTTAATAATGTATTTAGGACCAATAGACTTGATTTGGCAAGTACTCAATTTTTCATCTGCAATGCAACACTGTTTGCATCTTGTTGAGTAATATTGAACAATAAAATAGTTACTATGTAAAAGACATATAAGTACATACATTAAGTTTGAAACCACCTGGCTTCATGCCAGACTCTATTTGGTTCAGATAATTCTACATTGAGGCAGGTTATTCAAGGTTTTAGGAAGATTCACCATTTTATTACATAATTTTTCAGTAGTTTATGTAAATTAAAAAAATGTGATTATGTAACATCCCTTATAAATGTTTATTACATGCATGTTTAGAAATATGCCATATTTCTATTTAATATAAAATCGCAATATGTTCTTAAAGGGCCCTTATATTGTTATTTATAAAAGTTTCAAACCACAACAAATGACGATGTATTGAAAGATAGACATCTAACAGCTAACATCTGACTTAGTTCAGTGTGTTCCGATATTATCTACATAGCACCTGTCATAATGCAGGATAATTAATAATAAATCGTCTATACTTAGGAAGTGCTTTACTGAAAACTAACAGTCTTTTATCTATCTTTTCCTTATCTATACAATAGTTATATAATTAAAAAATGGTGATCACGCATTACTTAAATATGTTAAATTTTGTCTAGTTTTTAAGTCATACCAGGACACTTTTTGTTTCTACTTTTATTATTTTACTTTATTACGTGATAGTTATTAAACAAGACCGATGGGGCTGATTACAGCACAGCTAGTCAAATCAATAACATTTTTCGAAATGTAAAAAACGATGTTTCTATGAATTTTCTAAGAGATTCATAGAAATAATGACGTGATAACTTTTTTGCGTCAAATATAATATTTATTTAATTAAATTAGGTACTAAAATACTGTGACTACGCTTAAAATATCAATGAGAGTATCGTTATTCTAAGATACTTTTATAAATCTATTAGTGGATACAATTTCTGAGTCATTATTCCTATTATGTGAGTACTTACTTCAGCAGCTTCAGCCTTCGCCTCTTCTTCAGTGTGGGTCACATTGACGAGGTTTCGGAAGGCAATGTACTGCAGAGAGTGGCAGGCCCTGCACACTTGCTTGTACACTTCGTAGCCTCGGCGAACACTGTCATACAAAACATTTGTTATATTATTAAGTTTAAATAAAGTTAGGTGTGGGAGAGCCATGCCAGTGATGCCAATAATGATGCCAGTCAGCACGAATGTGTCGGCTCGACCGGAGTGATACCACGGCCTCACAGAAAACCGACGTAAAACATCCAGAGTTGTGTTTCGCCGTGTGAGTGAGGCTACCGGAGAGGCCCAATCCCCTCCCCTTTCCCCCATCCCTTCCCAATCCTTAAATATCTGAAACCCTTATTCCTATAAGGTCGGCAACGCACTCGTAACTTCATAGGCGGCGTGATTGCTTACCATCAGGTAATCCGTTTGCCCATTTGCTGACCTATTACATAACAAAAAATAAAAAAGAAACATGCTATCAGATACAAAGATTACAGCATCTATTGTCTACATCTTCTGTGAACTTCTATAAACCTATTTATTCATCATCTCAAAATCTCATGCATTCATACAATACCATAAAACAATAATGCTCTACTAAAAAATGTGTCAATCGTTTAATGATGAATTTATTATACTTTATGTACTTCACGCTAACTTGCATCTTTACAGTAACAGTTTAGAAAAAGTTATCTCTACTTGATAACATAAATATTTACATGAGATAAATGCAGAATGCCAATAAATAGCTATTCCATTTGTTGGTATGTATGCATTTACAAAAATTTTTATTTTTTATGAAAATGTAATTATCTGTTGACAATTTGTGCAGATAACGCAAAGCTTGTAGATAATTTTAATTTTTATCATCAATTTTAATAGAATTTCATTAAGTTTAACATCTGAACTTTTTGTTTAGGGAATCTATGTATAACCCATATGTATATTGTAAGAGTAAATCTAAACAAAATGTAAAGCATATACTCAGGTGGAATTTTTACATTTCTAAAAGTTGAGTGATTAATAGGTAAAAACGAAATTCATAAAAAAGTTCTATAACAACTACTTTTCAAGTTACTGACATGTATAATTTGCAATGTATTTGGTATGTAGGTAGGTACAAAACTTAATAATGATTAAAATATTGAAAGGTGTGTTTTTTATAAGCATAAAATTATGATTCTTCAGTATTTGAATGGACAAACTTCGTACTGCCCTTGAAAAGTTTAATATCATCCATTTTGTTTGTTGTGTATTTTCACTTGCAGAGCAGTACAAAGGTAAAGTTAATTGAAATTTTAGCAATTTGTCAGTGGTATGAAACTTTTTCAAATTTATTAAATGTCTCTTTGTTATATTATTACTTTCCTCATGGAGCTATGTCAACAACTTACCTAGCATGGTCTAATGATTTGAACCATCCATCGTGACTCCAAGGTTGGTGAGGTGGATGGGCTTCTGAACCTGAAGCCTGGACTGACTGTTCAAGAGCAAACAGCAGGGCACCTACACCAGTTCCAACTACTCCTACTGTTGAGAGCCACTGTTACAAAAAACACACAACTATTAAAACCACATATTACAAACATTGTGCAGGGGGTTTACAGTCAGCAGTGAATGTTTTTTGACTGATAAAAAATATTAACAAACTTTATTTATAAATAGATATAGCATGTGTAGGTGGAGCATAAATATAAACACAAATACATTTATATTATACATTTGTCATAGAATTTGGATATTGAAGTTTAAGATTATTATTACCTAAATATAGATAATTATTTTACTCATATTATGTTTTTATTTAATTAATAGAAGGTTTGGTATAACAGGCCACAAGTTAGTTAGTTTTAGGGCATGTGCACCATAGACATTTACTTCACATGGTTAGTTTCTTTTTACTTCCACAATGAAATTAAATGATTTTATTAGACATTTAGTATTTATAATCTTATCTCCACTAATGGAACCACAAATGAATAAAGGTAATAGCCTAATTTACCAAGCACAGTCCACTGACATGTTATTATTACACAATACATTTTTTGCTTGACATTTGGGGAATTTTTCAAGGTATAATATTTTCCTCCTCAAGCTTGCTAATTTTTCAATTAAAAGTATGTTCTGTATTAATTAAGACAGTCAAAGGACTGCTACTATGTCCATAAGAACACCAAAAAATACCATAACACCACAAAATCAATACCGTTAGCTTCGAATACGAATTTTCGAAGGTTACGTCGACCAATATCAATTTATTATTTTTACTAAAAGTAATGTTAATGAATCTTACCAGTTTCCTGTTCCTTGTCCATCCTTGGGCGCCGGTGGACAGCTGACAAACCTGCAACGGACAGCCTCCATTAGATTTCCTATATACTTGTTACATAATGCCGAATAGGTTATCACTTGCCCATGAAAAAATATTTCGAAACACTCGTGATTATTTTTGATCCAGAGGGTCCTGAACACCACGTCATTACATTTATCACGTTACAAGGCTCATGGTACGGCACAAATTGATAAAATACATTCGTTTGTCGTGACACTTCGAACTTGAGCTTCTTCGTCATTGGTAACATATTGAACACACCTATGCTATCTATTTATGATTTAGACTATGTAACAAATTGTTTAGACATATTTCCAGTACCTGGGGTGCCACTAAGCCATAATTTTTCAAAAGACGTGCCCCACAAATCCTACCGACGGCGGACGCCATGATAGAAAAACGTCGTAATGAAAGCTGATTCCACTGACAACTCCTAGTCATACTGCCATTCAAAAATATTGTCAATGCTGTATTTTGTAAAAAAATACAAAATATGTGAAATATTAATTAACAAATTATTTTATTACTTTTCTCGTAAATATAATATCCTACTTATTGATATATGTCAACTAACATCATTATTGACGTATTTATTTTTTATACAACCTGGCCACATACACTTGAATAAGTTTTAAATACTATTTGATGTAAAATAATTTTAAAAAGTTTTTTTAGGGTTATCAGGAGGTAAAGAACAAAATAAAGTCCTCTTAATTAAATTCACACGACTTTTTAATATTTAATATTTTACCAAAATATGAACATTTTATCTATGAAACATTGAAGCATATTTATAAATTTGATTTTATAACGAAAATTTCAATGCCATTTGTCACTGTCACCTTTTGTGACTGTCAAAAAGACAAATATACGTTTAGGTTAGAAAAATATGCATTTTTGTTATGTGCTGGATTGTTAAAATTATTTTAGAAATACGTATTTCATTTTGAAATAATGTTGTTATAAATGAAATTGGTACATTTGTTTGGTACACGTAGATTTTCTGTAGTTTTTATTGTGAAAAGGTATGATTGTTCTCGGAATATACGCAGTCGGCGTTTTAGAAGTGTAGTTAGTTTAATAAAATATTTTGAATTACAGGTTTAAAGCGTGTGTTTCCAGTATGAAAGTGTTTACACAGAAGAGGAACCCAATTACGGGAAGCACGGAGTGGGATGTACAGGATGAAAATTACGATTTTCATCAGGAAATAGCGCGAGCAGGATTTGCCGACATGTTGCATGATACTGAGAGAAATAAGAAGTATCAAAGAGCTCTTCAACTCGCTATTGAAAAAATGCACAGTAATGGAAAGAAAGCTAATGTTTTGGACATAGGTTTGTAGCTCTATCACTTCTTTTTATCAAGTCGTGATAAACACTAACATGAATAATGAAATGAATATTTGTTTGAAAAGTGAAAGTCAAATAAATGCTTTTACTTTGACTTTCTGTTAGTACATAATTTTTCATTCAATTATAGGTACAGGAACTGGTTTACTGTCAATCATGGCTGTTCGTTCTGGTGCAGACTCCGTAACTGCTTGTGAGGCTTTCAAACCCATGGCTGAATGTTGCGCCAAAATCCTGGAGATCAACGGTGTTGCCGACAAAATCAAACTTATACCTAAAAGGTCTACGGATGTTACGGTTGGAGATGACGGTGACATGAAGGAGAAAGCTAATATTTTAGTCACTGAGGTGTTTGATACCGAGTTGATTGGTGAAGGTACAGCATTTTTAAAACTGTAAAATTATTATGTTTCTTTGTAAGGCTAAACTTTTACATGTCCTTAATAATTTTTACTTTCAAACTTTGTTGCTATTGAAGAATGTCAAAAAATCAGTAGTTAAAATGGAAACATGTAATAGTTGGTCACTTTCAAATTAGAGTAGAATTTAGAATGAATGTATAAGTGTATTTATTTATCAACCAGTGAAAACTTTACCATGTGCAGATTCTTTTCCCTGTGGTGACTTGTAAGCACTCCTATAATATTAGTCGATATAGTATGGTATAGAGGTTTAATATTGGTTGATTTGCCCCAACAGTAATATCCTTAAATCTGATGAAGGTATCGAGGAGATAAAACTCTCTAATTTATTATTAATTAGAAATAACAGTTTTCTTTAATTTACTGACTAAAGTTCTACTAGTTTTAAGTCACAACGGGATTCTTAGTTGCCGCACTCTGCTTATAGGGTTTTTTCATAGTAACTACTCCAAAAATTATCATATTCTGCAAACCACAACACAACACATTAATTCATATCTTTAACTTACAATCTTCAATTTTCAGGAGCATTATCAACGTTTGCACACGCACACAAGTGTCTGTTAGAACCAGACTGCATAGTGGTGCCTGACTCTGCGGTCATTTACACTCAAGTTGTGGAGTGCCCAACCTTGTGGAAGTGGAACAAGTTGAATGATCTTTCTGATGCTGACTTAGATATTGTATTGAGGACACCTCAAAAGGTACAATTTATTAATTTACAGATTTTTATATCAACACATCTTTTTTCCCCTATTTTTCTTTAAGTAAAATGCATCTACCAGGTAGGTACAAATAATGATATACTTATTATTCTACATACATATAACATATTATGTATGTATACCCCATTTCACCAGTTATGTAATAAGTCCTTTGTAATATATTATGGTGTGAGCTTTTTGCCATATTGCAACACCAGCTTATAAGTGCCCATTGCTGAGCAAAAGCCTCTTCTCACACAGAAGGTTTGACCAGTAATCACCATTCAAACTTACAATAAGAAATTTCCTTCACTGTAGGTCAATGGTATCTAAATAATAATCACAAAAAGTAGGTATATATTATTTGGTAAAAGTCACATTGGTACAGCCGAGTTTCGAACCTGCACCTGCATGTATACTCCACCGTGCTTCGCCGTATGCTCGTATGCTGCACCGATAGAAGTGATCGGCGGCGGCGACCTCTCGGGCGGGAGAAGTCATTTGATGATTTTCTCCGCACCGAAAAAACCCTCATTCATGAGAGACGCCTTAACCTCCGGGCTACTAAGACGTTTATAATTGCCATATAACAATCGCATTTTAGCGAACAAATGAGAAATTTCCGAACCGAACGTTGACTTTCGAATCGCATCCAGAAAACCCTTGCTCGGCGAGCATACTTGCAACCATTTGACTGACGAGGCAGTGGGATTTTAGTTAACCTTTATTAAACATTAAGTTATATGTACGTAATATGACGTATCTAAATAAACTCTCATTTAAATAGCAACGAAATTATGTCAAACATGTAGGTACACACGTGACTCATAAAGGTGATCACAGCAATTGGGTAGTTTCCTAGGTAAAAAATAAATTATTTCGACGTTTCAATACAATAAAATATTGAAAAATAACTATACTTTTATTCATCGATCGATCGATACACTACGTTTTAGATATTTTGTAGCTAATTATTAAGAAATAGGTAAGCTATTTGACGCAAAAATATTATGACGTCATAACTCAGTTTTTCATAGAAAAATATCGTTTTTGACAATTGGATAAAAGTATTGAATTTGACTAGTTGGAAACTACCGTATTATTTAGTTTTTGTTTATAATTCCACAAAAGAAAGCTTGCTCATAAAAACTGTCTATTAAATTATCACTATTTCCACGCCGTGTATCACCGAGACCTTTTGCAGCAACAATTAAATGCTGCAATATTACAAAGACTTACTGAAAAAGGTCAGCAATTAAAAATATACCTTTTTTCTATTATTAGATGATCGACTGTCCCGGTTCTGCAGCAGTTCATGATCTTCAACTATCCCAGTTACCTCGTAATGCATTCCGTGAACTGTCAGACCAGATCCCAGTGTTCTATTACGACTGGTCAGGGAGAACTCCTATCATCATGAAGAGGACTGTTAAGCAGGACTTCACTGTTAGTAGCACAGGAAAAGCGCAGGTTGTCTTTATGTGGTGGGAACTTAATATGGATACTGAAGGTGAGTTGATTTAGGATTAGTTGGTAGCAGTTGGTAGTGGTCAGAAGATTTTGGTATCAAGATTTTTGCCAGTAATGTTTCAAAGTTGCTTGCCAAGTTGTGTTTTCTAGGCGTTGTTAAGTAATTACTATTTAATTCATTGTAATTAGGTAGTATCCTATTTAAAAATAATATTTAGACGTTATACTACAATAAAATATTCATTGTCTTGTCGATACACTTAATTATCGATTTTATTTAGCTTTTTTTTTAAAATATAAGTATGTTTGCTACTTCGCGTAAATATATTATGACGTCAGAACTTGCGATTTTATACAAATTGTGTAGAGAGGTATCGTATTTGTCATTTGGATAAAAGTATTGAATTTGAATGTTATAATTAATAATTATAACCTATTTATTAAGCATTGAATAAAAACAAAAGAATGTCAATTTCAGGTAGGATCTGCCTAAGCTGCGCTCCATGGTGGTGTCATCCCGACGCAGACTTGGTATCCGAACGCCCTCAAGACAGCATACCATGGAGAGACCATTGGATGCAAGCCGTCTACTACTTACCACAAACCGCCACACTAGAAAAAGACAAAGAAGCTACACTAATCTCGTGCCAAGACGAATACTCGCTCTGGTTCTACATAGAGACCGAAGAACTCAAAAGACAGAGTTATAAGCGACCAAATTGTGACTGCGGAGTGCACATGGCCTTATCAAGGACCCATGTATCATATCTCAACGATGGTAAACGCAGCAAGAAATTCCTAGAACAATTAAAAGAAGAAATTAATAATGAATCCGTAGTTCTGGACTTTAATGGAAGCAGTCTCATGGGTTTGGCCGCAGCAAAGTTAGGTGCTAAGGCAGTATACATACAAGAGAGTATGAATTTAAACCTTGGCATCCTACAGGACTATATAAGCACAAATAACCTGGAGAATATACATTTTGTATCTGAATTGTCTGATGAAATATTAAATCAAGTTACAAATGTAGTAACAGATCCCAATTTCCCTAGTGCGATTTTGCCTTGGGAGAATTTGAAGATAGCATATCTTATGTATCAATATAGAAGTAAATTGACTAACTGTGTTTCTGCCATACCTAGTGGTTGTGAGGTTTGGGCCATGCCTGTGGAGTTCCAAGATCTGCACAAAATATCCATACCGTTGGGCAGATGTGAAGGAATTGATATGGCTGTGTTTGATGGACTTGTTGAGGTGAGTGTAGGTATTGTTTTAGTGGATTTTATCAGTTATTAGGTGTTGAGAATATGTATCAAACAACACAAGATGTATACTAGGTTGTTTCATATCCAACCTATTTAAAAAGTAATATAGAATACATTGTATATTCCAGCCAAGCCAATAGATTGATATATTCCAGTTTTCATTAATTTTGTTTTGTTTTTATTGTTTCGCAATTCATTTTTATAAATAAAAAACTTTCTTACTCGACGTATCAATGTTAGTATGTGATAAATATTTTTAATAATAGCTCAAATTACATCACCAGTTTTAAATTACCCCAGCTGAGCAATGGCCTCTTTTCACAGAGCTTGCTTGCTCAAGGCAGATTGGTGATTCCAAACTTATAATAAAAAATATAATACAGAACGAAATATAAGTTTTTTCACGATATATTCTTCCACCGTTTGTCCTAAACTCGTAACGTACTTACTGACGTTTACGTTAAACTGGAAAATGGAAAAAATTTAATGGGTACTTGCTTGTGAACTCTCACCGCCTTTGATAATGCTTGATCAACGCGAATCAACATATTAATTGAATACTTTTAATTCTCAGAATTCCCGCAACATAAGTGATGCAGATATCGAAGCCCAACCGCTGTGGGAGTATCCCTGCAAGTGTCGCGGTGAGCCGGTCCGACTCCTGTCTATTGATTTCAGTGATCTGAAGCCAACGTGTGCTATGGATGGCATTTGTGAAGTTGGGTAAGGCTATTGAGTATTTATGATGTAGTAAAATCAAGTGTGTGGTGAATAGAATTTGTCACAACGCTGCCATTCCCGCGGGAGTTTGATAAGTCTATCCCACTAAAATCTTTAAGCCGCCTAATATGTGGTGATCATGGAAAACGTCCGAAGTCCAGATCTGGATTGTCACAGTCACAAACTGTTGGAAAACATTTAACCAACTTTAAAAAAAGTCTATGATAAATCTGAATTAAGCACACCTCTAATTTTTTCATCATCATGAAATTCGGCATTCACATTATGTAAGCTAGCTTGCGTATAAAAGTAATGAATCCCAAGATTTAAAAAAAACAGCAGCGTTTAAAGCGATAGCTCGACTAAACTACGCAAATCAATAGATAATAATTTATAGCCTATATAGCATTTAGGAATATTGTAGCTATTTATCAGTGAAGGAATTTCGAAAATCCGACCAGTGGTTCCTCGGATTGCCCCATACATACAAACTTAAAAATCTTACTTCTCAGCATTATGGTACTATGGATCTGCTAAGATGGTAGAATCGGAAGGTGGCTACCGACTAGTAGACTAAGACTTAGACTTTAAACTTACCGAGTTTAGGGCTGATTAGATATACCTAATGGTAAGCAATCGGCGCCGCCCATGAACACCTGCAACACCAAAGGAGTAACGAGTGCGTTACCGGCCTTTTGGGGATAAGGGTTTCGGATATTTAAGGATTGGGAAGAGATGAGGAGGGATGTGGTAACCACACTCACAGGACGAAACACAACGCGGTGTTTTTTCACGCCGGTTTTTGTTAGGCCGTGGTATCACTCTGGTCAATCTGACCTTGCCGAAGCTCAGCTCTCATACACTTTATGTTTATATCTAGTGTCTAGCTATCTGTTTTAATTTGCTATAATTTTTCTAGTAAACCATCAAACGATGAAGAACAAGTGGTAAACGGCTTCGCGCTATGGGTGGTGTGGAATGTCGGAGGGTCACCTCAGAGCTCGGGCCCCAATCAGCCACCAGTGGTTGGACAGAGAGTAGACTGGGATCCTCACACTAGACAAGGCGTCAAGATATTTGTAAGTAATCTTCAGAATAATAATTTCGTAGTGGAGCGATGGAAAAACTATTTTTGCGTCTTGGGAATTACAGATTTGTCTGACGTGGCATGTTGTTATTATTTGGCTCTTTATTTAATGTTGCCATGCTTCTTAAATCTTCAATATCTGTAGTGCATTTGACATAGACATAAATAGTACAATGTTACTTTGCTAACAAAGCAAAAAAGAGGTTATATATATTGTAGGTTAAAAATCTTTTTATTTTTACAGAACAGTGTTTGTTCATATTCCTGGAACACATCACCCTTTTTGGCCTTGTATTTAAATTCATTTCCGAATAGTTACAAAGGTGATGCATGCCACGAAAGAACACTAATAAAAAAAAACTTTAATCAATTGCAACATATTAAACGTGGCCACAAGAAATTGCGTAAGCCCAAGTGATTTAGAACACATTACAACCATTTGACAAGTAATTACAATATTAAAGTAATCATTTAAAGTATTTAGCCATGTAATGAGACCGCAACGAATAGTTTCCTCAATAATGTAGTCTTGTAAACTACACTTATCTGAAGATTAATGGATTAAAACTATAGCCGCGAGCTTAGATTTGAATTACACCGGCTTAACAGCGGATTACCCATTAGTTATCCATTTAATTGGTTTATTTGTGTCGTTCGAGTGAACTGGAACACCATTTTATGTAAACACGTTATGTACTCTTTCGGAGGTCTGGAAAATGTTTCTTCTAGACTTCTAGTACCTAAATTGCCTTAAAAAGCCACCTGACGGCTACAGATGGGGCCAAATAGTTGCAAGCCAAACGCAATATTGTTCTGTGGCCTCGGCATAGAGCAGGAGAAGGAACGGGATGTTTTTTAGTATAGGGTCAGCGCTGAAAACCAGCGCTGTTGTTTCGTGCCTGCGTGCGCGAGACACAGCATTCATGCCGAGTGCTGCCCTTTTTCACGCATGAGTGACGCAATTGCAGTGCTTTTCTTTTTTTTATGTTCATTGTTTGTTTTGTCCCTATTTAGCTATATTCGTGTGTGTTTGTTTCTTGCGTCACTTGTGTGTGAAATAACTGGTTTTTCTTTCTTTATAGTCCAATTCTCTTTAGGGTTTGACCCCTGGGAGAAGTCATGCCATGATTCTAGTAACTTGGCGATCGTCTTTAATTAGAGAGTAGATCAATAACCTTACAATGATAAAATTGATTATAAAAATAAACTTCCATAGAAGTCTTTTCACTTTCAATTTTGGACAAAATATTTTTTCTTTTACGTGTTGTCTTGTTTCAAGGAGCGATTTTATAAGCGATTTCTGTGCCTAATTTTCAACATTAACCATGTGTTTAAAATTACTGGTATCAGGTTGTCTGGCACAAAGCTAGTCAGTATTGTTAAACATTTCCTGGCTCTTACGTGATACTAAAAATTCTTTAATAAACAAGGATTACAAAGTGATAAAAACACTTATTGTGTTGCAATGTTAACGCTTCGTTTCAAGTTGCATTTTAATTATATTGCATAATATGTGAATTACTGGAATATACTTAAGGTTTATTGGAGAGATTTTTGTAATATAGTTATTAAAAAAATTAAGAAACTGAACAGTAATTGTTTTTCCATCGCTCATAAAATAATTTATTCATTTGTCTATACCAAATTTCTAGCCAACGTAATAACAAAACTATTTGAATTCACAGAAAAAGTCATACGACGCGACAGCGCCATTCAAGTGGAAGTATCAAGCAGTCTGCGACCTTTCGAAGGGACAATTCAATGTCGACATAGACTTAGTTCTCGAATAGACATCATAAATATATTTATTATCTGTATTTTATATTACACTGACGTCAATTTGATTGGTTGTTTTATTTATTATCTGTGTGGAGTTGAGAATGTTATTTTTGAACCATGGCTTAGTAAAAGGTATTTGTGAAGGCTAAGATGTGAGTGACAGCGATTTATGAACCAACCTCTTTTTTTGCAGAAAATGGGATTTGGAATTACGTCTATTCATATTAAAAAAACTCGAAGAAAGTTACTCTAGAAAAGGAAATACTCCAGCTGAATAAAAAAGAAACATACCTAATTCATACTTAAATGTAAAAATTTGTGAGAATGAATGTTAAAATTTTTCACACAAAATCGGCTGGACCAATTTGGTTGAAATTTGGTACCTATGTACAAAAGTGATACCCCAAATTAACAATATCTTTAAGAAAACCAGTACTTGAAGATGCATTTTAAATGACCCCAATACCCAAAATATAATTTTAAATGTTAATTGCAATTTGAATGACAAGTGATGATTAACGCAACGTACGTAACTAACTTAATACATATATACATGTACATATGTAGATAGATGGGAAATAGGTGCAGTAGACACAGATCAACCTATACCAATCTGTTAATATTGCTCAATGGATTTTCGACTTTATGTCAAAACTTTAAAGATGAAAAATAAAGAATTTGACAGAAAGGTGTATTACGAACATTCACCGATATGAGATTTATGATTGAAGGTCTGTGACCTTTAGAGACCAAAGGTTTGACCTTATAGTTCAGTAGGTCAACTATGTTTTTTTTTAAACACCAAGGTCAATTTTTCTGTTCTCTTGTGTCAAACAAACGTAGGTTATAGGTTATCGGACTCATTAATCAATTGCTAAATGTATGGCAATGTGTTTAGGAGTTAATAGTGTAATCTTTGTAGACGAATAGATTGATACTACCTAATTTGTTTTTTTAAACGTGGGAAATTTGTTTCAATCGATTTATAGTCTTGTCTTGTCTTGTCAAGTGTAGACAAATTGTAATTTATTTTGTGCCAGATTAGGAGGCTAAAGTAATCTGACAACAGCCAAGGTAGTCCCACGTATTTTTGGAAATCACTATTTTAAATGTTCATATAATTTATAGTTGTAGTAAGTATGGGATAACAAGCTTTGGTACGAATGGGTCGGCTCGACTGGAGTAATACCATGGCCTCACAGAAAAGCAGTGTGAAACAACCACGAAGCACTTTGAATCGTGCCGTCTGATTAGTGCGTAGATACGTCTGACATCTCTGATAACCTACAAATTGGCAATAGGTGCACCAGTGACGCTCGTATTTACAGTTTTAGGTGGTGCGAGAAATAAAATGGCGCCCATCTCACGTATCGGTACTTATTGGTAGGTACACTTTTTTTATGTCATAATGTCGGCAAACGAGCAGACGGATTACCTGATGGTAAGCAATCAGCGTCGCCCATGGACACCCGCAACGGAAGAGTTATGAGTGCGTTGCCGACCTTTTCGGGATTAGGGTTTTGGAGATTTAGGGACCGGGGTAGGGGAGATTGGGCCTCCGGTAACCTCACTCACACGGCGAAACACAACGCAGTGGTTATTTCACGCCGGTTTTCTATGAGGCCGTGGTATCACTCCGGTCGAGCCGACCCATTCGTGCCGTAGCATGGCTCTCCCACACTTAAACCTTACCGAGATGGCGCCCGATGCGGTCGATGCACCTCTTTTATTGGGACTCATAAGATTACTAGTATCTACCTAATTATATTAATTTTAATCATATGCACTGCGACATCAGTAATCCCGCATTGGTTGGGCAACTGGCTGCTCCTCACTGGATCGCGGGGTTCAATTCGCGTAGGGAACGACTTGGTTTGATCTAGAAATTGGTGTTCTTGTTCGGGGTGTATATGTCGTATTCTTATTTCGAACTAATTATACAGGTATTTCTACCGAATTTTATTTAAATCGGTTAAGTAGCTTTTATCTAAAACAGTAACAAACAATAATTATACATCGATCCATAGTTAAGTACAAAATTCCAGTTTAAACTATACCTACCTACCTTTATAGGTAGGATAGCAATTTACTTGTTCATCTCCATGACCAAGCAATAGATTTAAAACCTTGCACAATACTGTAGTGAACTAGTGAGGTAAACACAAATAAGTATAAACCAAGTGTAGGAGTGATTTATGTTTCATTTACATGCACCGCGTGGGGTTGCCATGGATGAAATTTAATATCTACTATGACAAGGCAAATTAAAGTTGTTACCAACCTACTAGCACTTCTCATTACACCAGCAAGTTACGATCATAATAATAATTGAATAGATGACAAACAACATGGCTACGTTAGCTGAATTGGAAAGGACGGTGCTTTATTATCGAGAGGATTTTCTGATTTATTTCTGGAAATTTCCAAGGTAATATTTATCTACTGCAAGTACGTTGGAGTGCAATATTAAATACGAATAGTTGAATCTACCTATTAGGTATCGGGTTATATCCCAAAACTACGTAGAGTAAGTCTTAGTCTTACCTAAGACAAACATGAAATGACAATCATAAGAAACCTAAACTGAAACTTTTAGAGCTTTTCTCGAATTGATAGGTATATTATTAACGCGAGTTGTAGATATTTTAATTTAATTTAATGTTACTAGTTTCCATTTATTTCGTGGCCACACCTCTCCAGCTAAAGTCGTCAATGCTAAATGATACAATTATTTAATTAATGAATTAATAAAAACTACTGACCGTGTTCTCAACGGTTACCTACTTAATTTACGAGATCTTTATCTGTGTAAAATTAAATCGAATTCCCGAGATAGTTACTGAGTACCTAAGTATTTAAAAATTAAAATCAATCAATTTTTTTAGGGTTACGTATACCGGGTTTCTGTATGAAATTGTGCACACAAAATATATCAGAATGTTTTTCTAATTTGACTGATTTGTAACCACAATCATTGTATGTTTGTAAAATAACTATCTTTAGGTATTTTTATTTCATATATTAAGTATCTAGTAGGTATGATTTATTTAAACAACTCTATAATTTACATTTTAAAATATTACTATGAAAAATATAAAATACCTTATAAAATCCATATCCTATACATATAAAAAATAGGAGCCAGCCGGCACTGGAAACATAGACCAAGTTGAATAAAAATTCCTCACAATACGTACTGTTTCAAGGAGGCTTACCTTCTGTATCAGACCCCAGCAGGTGGCTTTTGGGGACTAACCCATCGGCCGACGCAACTATCGGCACAATGATAGCAGAGTGCATACTCCATACTTGTTTGTTTATCTCAGCGGTATAGGTATGAAACCTATGGATTATCATCGTGCGACACGTTACACGATCAATCACCACTATGTCAGCGTTTATTGGCTACAATAGTCCTGTCAGTGATGAACTGATGATAGACCTAATCCAGTATCTACATGTACAATTTTATGTAACCATTTTCTAGAACTGGATCGGGCACATACTTGTAGTACTGTACTACATCTGACTCAGTAAGTTGGTTGGAAGAATAATTTTAGCCACCTTATTATGCCTGTGCAAGTAAACGCTATTAACCAAACGACCACAACCAGAACATGTTTGTTGGATTTCACAGGACTAAGACATACCCGGCATATTATTCGTAAGCATAACTTCGTTTATAATTACACAGAAAAATTCTTCAGTACCTTCCTCCAAAGAGATTTAAGCTTTAAGCTTTTTAGGCAGTCATTAGCGCAATGTAAAGGTACAGAACCGTACATATCCAAATTGTATTTGACAGCTGTTTTTTTTACAACAAGCAACATTTTTTTGCTAGAAATTCCTAGTTGATCTATGGAACTAGGTGGGTTTCGCTTTAGGCGATAAACTTATAGTTTTTAGTCGATTCGCATTTCCTGCTAAGGCGATATTGAATAAACTTTGATTATAAATCTTACTGCGTGAATATATTGAACACATTTTTTATTGGATCGACATAGCTTGCATAGCGAGATACTATATAAAAAAGTCGATTATCATCAGGTATTAGTGAGTTCTATTAATCAAGTTTGGTAGTCATACATATGTTCTGGACTTGCTACTGCCCGTATTTATCAACTAACTCATTATTGTTATCCCTTGAAAGGTTAGGCACACGGCTTTTTTAGTATTGAGTTGATATTTTTCGCCAAAGTGGGTAGGTTACTACCTACCCACTTTGGCGAAAAAAATCATATAATGGTAAGTATATTATTTAGTATCGTTTTAGAAAGTCATTTCCAAATAACGAAATCAAATTCACGCCTTAATTCAAATTTAAATTATCATAATGTTCGATGAACTTCATCGTCCAATTTCAAACCACGACAGGAGCCCATACTAATGGCATGCGCGACGACCAAAGCTGCGAGTGTCGCGCGTTTCGATAGGTGCAATAAAACTAGATATTTTGTATTATGAATGTGTTATCTCATATTAATGTTGGTATAGAATATATAGAAAATGTGTAGCATAGCCCATCTTTACATTATACCAATTCCTTAACATAATCATAAACCCACAGCAATACAGAAGTAATATAAAACAGTAACGAAATGTGTCTTACAATGTATTTGACACAAACTGTCCATTAACATTCAAATGTTTGCCTACGTATTGAAACTCAACTCAATGCTTAAGTTCGTGATTACTACTTGAGTGTCTAAGGGTCTCTTCACATTCTCCGGTTGCCGGCTTACCGGTGCCGGGAATACGGCGGCGAGTGAAAGCTAACGTTCTTCTAAACTCTTTTTGCGTTGTACGTAAGAGCCGACTAAGGGATAATTCATCAAACCCGAAGCGAACGCCGGCGTTTGAGTACATATTGTTGTTCTATTCTGTTTCGAATTACCCCGGTTGAAAGGTTATACAGACCAGATGGCAACGTTGTCTGATAAAACTGAACCTTTAAAACTGCGATCTTTAACTCGTCAACTAATTCAAAAAGTCAAAAGTCAAAAATCATTTATTCCAATTAGACCCTTACAGGCACTTTTGATCGTCAAACAAAATTATC